AGTCATGTACTGGACATAATGGGTACCTTTGTTTCGTCGAGGCGATTGTCTGATCGTCGAGGCGGGTTTCTCTTCGTCGAGCCGGGTTTCACTTCGTCGAGCCGGTCCTGTATCGTGAAAGCTGTCGTTTCGTTGAGGCGGGTTGCTCTTCGTCGAGGCAGGATTGATTAATCGTGACAGGTCTCGCTTCGTCAAGGCAAATGTCACTTCGTCGAGGCATTGAATTGAATTGATCACTTTCATGTAGTCGAGTCGTGTTCCAGGGGGTAGTGGTTTATAGCAAGGAGCGGAAAGAGGCAGGGAGAGGAGGAGAAGTGTCTTGAAACTGTTTTTGCTAAGCAACTGGATGCCCATCTGAGCAGCTGGAAGCCATGGGGAAGTGGTGTTTACGTCCTTCTAAACACAAAAGAATATTTCGAAGAAGCATGAAGTTTGTTCAAAGGGGCCCAGCTCAAGATTTTCTAAAGAGCTACAATTAAAAGGTTACTCCAAAATTTGCAAAAACTTTCCTGTTACATGTCAACATTACAATAGACGAAATTATGCGACACATTGATAAAAGAAAGCTTGAAAATATTTCCTCGGATTTTCCTTCAGTCATAATCCATTTTTAGATACTGTTTCTGGCCATACCTTAAATATCATATTTCTAAAATTTTTCTTGCCGCCAACCATGGTGGCCTTTCCTAAAATCTTTCATAACCTTGATTTTTTGGCCCCTCCACTTTCAAATACGTTTCGCCGGCCCTTTTCTGTTACTGTTTGAAATGTAAAACTCGAATTCATATCATCTTGTATTACAAGTTGTAATGTTTAATACCTAGAACGTTGTCATTATAAATCATTTTCACTTTTACTATAATCATGTTACTGTATTCACTGAAATTTAGGGCTTGGACTCGAACACCGTTTCGGTGCCTCCCAACATCCTAGGCAACTTTTTTGTTAACATGTTAATTGCTGTTAAAATTCGTAATTATCTTTATCGACACTTTATTGACTTCTAATATTGTAAAATGGTTGCTTAATATTAAATGAATTTGAGTTTGGAGCTTGAGAAAAAGAAGCTTCAGTTGACGCAATTCATAAAACGTTTACAAGAATGAGGTGAAATTGAGAGTTGATCCGCTTGTTACTGGGTTGTTCAGCTTGTTCCTCGTTTTAGAATTGGCGGCCTTAAACTGTGTTACGCCACTGACTCACCCTCCACAACACTTTCTTTTTCAAGAACATTGTTCGTAAAAATATTCAAACTCCGAATCATCCAATTTATAAGAATATTCTAAGAATATTGCTCAGTCTCAGCATATTTGTGCCTAATTTTTCAGCATTTGCCTGTTTTGAGATTTTCATAGCATTGAATCGTAGAACTGACCTATCTATATCTCGTTTTTCAAAAAGCGTGGTTTTTATAGAGTGAGGGGGGGGCCCAGTGAGCGTTTTGAAAAAGCGTTTATATTCAAATTTTAAAAAATAAGAATACCGACAGAATATATTCAGGGTCAAAACAAAAATATCATAAGAATATCGAAGCTGGAAATATTTTATAACATTCTCATTAAAAAAGGGTGTATCACCATCTCGTAATTATTTCTTTATTTACAGCATGCTAAAAACGAATATGGCTATTTTACAGCTTACTTAGGCCGACTACTAGGTACTTTTAATAAAAACGAAACTACCTAACGGAAATTGTAACGAACTTGATAAAAGCAAATTGAGGACCAATTATTTATCAGTCAGTATGTATTCTGTGTCCCGGCTTACAATAGGAAGTATCTGTCATCAAAATACATAACGTTTCTTGCAAGATAGGCATCAAGCTGCTCATCAAAAATAATTTCAAGACACTTCTCCTCCTCTCCCCGCCTCTTTCCGCTCCTTGCTATAAACCACTACCCCCTGGAACACGACTCGACTACATGAAAGTGATCAATTCAATTCAATGCCTCGACGAAGTGACATTTGCCTTGACGAAGCGAGACCTGTCACGATTAATCAATCCTGCCTCGACGAAGAGCAACCCGCCTCAACGAAACGACAGCTTTCACGATACAGGACCGGCTCGACGAAGTGAAACCCGGCTCGACGAAGAGAAACCCGCCTCGACGATCAGACAGCCGCCTCGACGAAACAAAGGTACCCATTATGTCCAGTACATGACTCCATACTCCTCCTCTCCCCGCCTCTTTCCGCTCCTTGCTATAAACCACTACCCCCTGGAACACGACTCGACTATATGAAAGTGATCAATTCAATTCAATGCCTCGACGAAGTGACATTTGCCTCGACGAAGTGCAACCCGCTTCAACAAAACGACAGCTAACACGATACAGGACCGGCTCGACGAAGTGAAACCCGGCTCGACGATCTGACAATCGCCTCGACGAAACAAAGGTACCAATTATGTCCAGTACATGACTCCATAATAAGCAGAATGAATGAGCAAATCGTGTTAAGAGCATGAAATTTGCACACACCAGGTCCGTCGGGGGGCTGGAGCCCCCTAATAATTGTTAAACTGTAGTATTTTTCCTTTATAACGGTGTATGTCAAACTGTAGTATGTTTCCTTCTGAATGAGAAAGAAAACAATGGACAGCCCCCCCCCCCCCAATATGAATTTCTTTCCGACGGCACTGCACACAGACAATTTGACATGCTTAAAAAGATGGGATCGGGACCCAGTCTGAGAAATGTCCTTAAGAGCTATTTTTAGAATGATTTATTGTTCCCAGAGCCTTGAAATGATTATCTCTTTAACTTTGTTGAAAAAGAAATCAATGGCATGGAAATTTGTATAGATACTAATCATAACACGGTAATACGATGCGATTTTGTCATAAGTATTGCGTCAAAATGCCCCCAAATGCTTATTTAAGATCATGTACTCGTTCCCAGACCTCTAACACGCTTATCTCTACAACTCCACTAAAAATACAATCAAAGCAAAATTTCGTACGCGAGTCGGTCCAACAATCTGCTAAAAATACAATCGAGATAATTCTCTTATTTTATCTTGATACAATCAATAGCAAGCAATTTGATTTAGATACTAATTATAACACACTAAAAGAATTTGGATCGACACGCCGGGTAAGGCGAAAAGAGTGTAGGGAACCTCATTTGTGTAAAGGGGCACGTGGCTAAAATTGGCGGGAATGGCCTAGCAGTGGCGGCTTGGCATTTTTCGACTGGGAGGCAGCAGCATAATGGCGCCCTTCATAAAAACATTATTATCTTTATCCTGACAAGATTGGCAGTCGGGTAATGCTCTTATTTTTTTAACCTTGTCTGTCAAGGATTACCCTGGGTTTTAGAGCGTCAAGTGTAGCAAATGGGGCATCGAGGAAATAGGGCGTTGCGGGAGAGTGCGGAGGAGGAGAGAAGAGAGGAAGCATAATGAAAATTTAGCCAAAAATCAAGTAATGTCAAACTAAATGCAAGTTTTTAGGCTTTAAAGCCAAGCATCATTCATTTTTCAGATTGCCTCGTCTGTTGTAAAGGCCAGGAAATTTTATTGGTTCCTTGACAGTGGCAAAAATAGGCGTTTTCTGGTCACACGGACAAACAATCATAGTCAGATATGATTGCAAAGCTATAGAGACCAATTCTAAAATTGACTGTTGGAGAGTTTCAGAAATGGGTTTTTATCTTGAAAACTAAATTATTAGAAGTAACACAGATAGAAAATCCTAAATTAGAGAAGAATCCACAGATATAAGTGAAACACCCGTGCTTTTCAAAAGAAAAGATAACTGATTTCTCTCAATCACATAGCAATAATTCCAGAAGAGAAGTAGTCTCCAGCCCTTGAAAATTACCCGAAAAACAGGACTACACCACCTAAAATGCTAGTTTCGGTACAATACAGGATAAAATTTATAAAATGTAACACCTTAGAAGCTTTCATAAGACAACCAAATCACCCACCCCCTTCCCCTCAAATCAATGTTGTGATTGGATTGGTAACCGATGTCGTAATCCCCACTTATTCCGTAACCATCTTAACCAATATTGACCCTGGGGGGAAGGGGGTTTAGGTCACCAGCGCATATTTTTTGAAGATAAAGCATGCGAAATCCTTTTTTGTTCAAATGTCTCAGCTATTTTTGGCCAGGATTGTGGGTATATATTTTTCATTGTGTTCTTTCAGACCCTTATTCTGAAGGTTTTATGTATAGCGCTGAAGATTATATCGGATAGGACTGCTGGTAAGACTTATATATATTTGATTTTATATAGGAAATATTCGATTTTTCATGCATAGCTAATATTCACACATTCACCTTTTTATTTTAAGGTTCTCCCTCTTCTCTAAGGAAAACACTTTTTCCGTCTGCGTGTTGCTACCTATCTTCAATAACGAACCATAAAGAACGTGACAACCTTCTCTTGTTTTTAGCTTTAATTCCCCTCCTCTTTAATAAAAAATAGTACTACACCGTTAAAGTTTAATTTAAAAGCAAAGTTTCAGAGCGATGCGAATCGGATAGAACCATTGACATTACACTAACGCAAGCCGAGGCGATTTTTTTATCAGCTAATAAGCGGAAAGATCTTCACTTCGAAGCCTTCGACTTGCAGTCTATTTCGAACCTGATAGGTATGACATAACTTGAACAATGTCTCTGTCTGATATAAAAATCGGAGACTGCAATACCCATCCGGTGTGGTTTAAACAGGGCCTAAAAAAGGAGCTCAATCACCTAGTGCCCTTTGATACACTTTAAAAATTAACTGATGAATGCTTATTTACTTGTTTTTACATCAGAGCAATTTGTGCAATCAAAATTCAAATTAATAAAAATTCCAATAAAAAGATCATCTGCAAATTTTGAGCCAAAAAAGCAGCCCAAAAACATATTATTTTATATGCTATAATATCTCTTTATCCAATGGCTAAATGGAAAGTTTGCAGTGGGTATGATTTCTCAGATTTTCCTGGGTACTGCCGCTGTTGCAATGTGGAATAGATGGAGCAACACAAAAGTAGGCCTATTTGAATTAACTAAGTTATATTATTAACAAAATATACAAAAGCGTATATTTACAAAAAATTCATTTCACCAGGTGAATATTTTACATAAGGTTACAAATAATTTGGTAATTTACAACATTTAGAGCTATTGTATATCTTTTACTATTTACAAATTAAAATAACAGCAAAACTTTGAAATTTAACTTTAAATATGATTGTGTCCCCAGCAAGACCTAAAAATTAACAAGAATACATTGACTATAAAGGATTGCTTACAATGCTAAAGGATTGCTTACAACGTAAGACTGTGGAGAGAGAGGGGGGGGGGGGGGGGTGGGCTTCGAAACACTAAAATGTAGGGATAGGTTGTTTAGGCTGGATTAAAGTCATCTAAATAAATAATTGTCTTTGAGAGCAGAATTACATAAAAATACTGGAGAATTATACCAATATTCAAGCATCTCTAACAGGATGCAACTTAACAAGACTTTCGTGGGCAGTGCTTTGAAAATAGGGCGACATACCAACAACAAAGGGAGGCTATTGAAAAATGGAACAGGGAGGTTACAACCCTGTGCCACCATTCCGGTGAATTTTTTCATGAAGGAAATCAGGTAAATATAACATAGTCAAAATGCGTCTTGAACTTGCAGATGGGTAACTAACTTTTGCCGAGGGTAATCTGCCTCAAAGAGAACTGTTTAAGAGAACTTTTGTACATTTTAAGGCAGGGAAACAAAACTTTGCAAAGGGAGACTTAAGGCTGGATGGTGACTGGAAATCTCAGCAGGCAGGGGCGTGGAAATATAGTAAAAAGCCTTGATCATTGGAATTTTGAAAAGAGGACTCCCCAGTAAGGAAATTTATCACAGGGGTAGTTCTCACAGGGGTGAAAGGTTACGAGCAAGGATTTCGTAAACGTGTAGATTTCAGGAAGGTAAATTCTGGAATCAGCTCTAGAAATTGTTTAATAACTCTAGAAATAAAACGATTTTTTGGTGGATTGATATAACTATGATTTGATTCTTTTCCTGTCAAAGGCAAAACATTAATATGATAAGTTTGCCAACGCAATGGCCGAACATTTATAAAGGCCAGAATCAAGAAGATGGACTTACCCCGCAAATGTTTGAAAATCCGCCATTTTCTTGAAAGGATGAATGGGCAACTCCGGAGAATTGATAGTTGCTAGTTACCTAGTTGGTTTTGGTTTGGCTGTTGCATCAATGTGATCAATGCTTTTAGCAGCCAGTCGGTATCGACGCAGGCTAAAATAGAGGGATATCCTTATAAATGAGCTGCAACTGAAAAAAGTGCCTCTTGGAAAAGACACCATAAGAGGCTTATTACAAGTAAGGTTAACATGTTGGAGAAATGGAGGTGTGGTAGAAAAGAAGAATCGGGGGTTAATAGTGCAAACTGGTAGAAAGGGGGAGAGAGAGTAAGTCTTATTCAGCTTCTTTCTTTTTTAGGATATATAGATAATCAACTTTGTGTGCGATAATCAATAATCGATAGACCTTGCAATGGAAGACACTGCCGCCAGATTTGCCAAGGCCCTATGTTTCGCAATTAAAATAAAAAATAAATAGCAAGCAACATAAAGTAAGGTATCAATATAAGGCTATAAAATATCAAACGCAGCTAATAAAGTAAGTAAAATGGAGAGATATAATTTAAAAAAGAAATGGTACGATTTCAAAATGAAGAAAACTTACCGGCCACTAACCGGCCGACCTCGGGCTCTACCGTGCGGTGGCTTCGGTATAATTTTTTCCGGTCTGCTAATCCCCGCATTTTTCTCTCCATCTCCATGAACCTTCTGTCTGCGCTTTTTTATCTCTACCCCGGGATCTTTGCGTATATTTTCAACGAGGTTGCCTCCCTGCATTCCCATAGATTTCTCTGATACAATAAAATAACTCTGAATACGGCTTTCCGCATTACCACCTTCCGCAAGTGATATTTTCACCGCAGAATCAGTTGGCATGCTCTTCTCGTTTCTGGTTCTTCCAGCACTATCGGACATGTTGACATCGTCTTCATCAAAATTCTTCGATTCGGGTATTCCCGTTCTCCTTTCATGCACTCCAATAGCATCCTGTGAGATTTGTTCGACCATTCGGTGCGATAAGTACACGTCTTCTGTTCTCGGAAGCGAGTCCACTGTAGCATTGCGCACTTTTGTTTCATTACCATTTTCGGCAAAATCTTCATTTCTCTTACAAACATCTTCAACATCGGATCTACCATTGATATGATTCTTTAAACCTGCATTTGCTTCCAAGGCAATCATTCCCAAATTTTCACCACTATTTCTTATCGCAGAATGATAGTCGACATCGTCAGACCTCTTGAATGTTATGCTGAAAACAGCATCTCCAGTAGCATTTTCTCCATGTTCGGAATGAAACTTTTTCGCGTTAAAATCAGTTCTCACAACCGGAATAAGATTTTCACTTGTTCTCACGTCAACCTGAACGTTCTCAATTTTGAAGCTATGGCCACCACGGGGTCTGACCTTTTCAACAAGAGCAGACGATCGCGGTAATAACATTTCATCATCATCTGCTCTAATCTCTTTTTTATCATAACCATTTTCTTCAGATAATTTACTTTCCTTTTCTGTTCTACCTTCACAAAGACCAGCCTTTTCTTTTCGCGACAGACATGTTTCACCCTTAATTCCAGTTAAGATTTCCCTGAGATTGCTTGCACCATCAGCCTTGCGTGCTTCTGTAGGACTACATATTTCAGCTCGCTCTTCTTCACAAGGAAGGGATTCCCCTACCAGGTCACCTGGATAATCATTATCTGACCCTCCATCTAGAAGGTTTTTTGACCCTGTTTCCGGTTCAATCTCTGCAAAATCTCCCCCGCGTACTGCTTCACCGGACGTCTCCCGCTCTACTTCTTTATTAGCCGCAAATTTCGACTCTATTCTTGAACTCACAGACACCACACTCTCCTGCTTTGGTACTTCCCCCAAGGCAGCATTTAAAACCTCCCCAGTTTCTGATGACTCCATCTTGGTCGATTTCTCAAGCACGTGGCTTTCTTTGCTTGCACTAAGCTGTCGCTGGAGCTTCTTTCGATCTAACGCCTCAAAGAATCCCTTCAAAATTGACAGTGTTTTTGATGTGTGCTGGTCAGAGGCAGATCTAGTTCTTCGTTTACTGATTGATTCCTTACTGTTGGTCGTATCACTCACCTTTGAATCATTGCTGTCATTTCTAATGATTGCCTTTTCCGATGAGCACTTTCTTGGAGAACCAACAGGACTCTCAGGTATATTATCTTTGCCAATATTCGCAGGTTCTGTCATCTCTTTAGCACTATCTTTATTATCAACCTTTGCCTTCCATTTTGAGATGAAAATGCCATCTATAGAATCGCGTACAAGTATTTTTTGATTGTTATCTGATGGATCCAACTCATCGAGTTTTCCTTGGAACATTTTCCCACTAATGAAATCTTTACCTTCAGACATCAGCGAACAATTTTCATTATGATTTTGAGGTTTTTCAACGATGCCATCCCTCGATTGTCCCTTCACCGAATTTTCATTATTCTCCATGTCGAGTTTATCAAAAGATCCATCTACATCATTCCCTTTATGGCCAGAACCCTTTTTTGATTCTGACCGTGCCGACTTTGCCTCATCGTGAAATATCTGAGCCTCCTTCTCAAAACTAAGATTACTCCCTATGCGTTCCCTGTTATCGTGATCCGATATACCTACTTTAATGTCTTTGTCATTATTGTCATTCTCGACTCCACAGAATCCTATACCTGCTTCAGCCTCCTTAGGACGCCCTGTTGCCTCTTTGACTTTGTCTACCACTAAGTCATTCTTGTCTATAGTCTGATCTTCTACTTTTGGCGCGGCTACATCGTCTGACTCACTTTTATGAACTTTATTCAAATTTTCTTCAAAATCATTATCTCCCTTATCACGGGAATCTTTTTCTGCTGTATTTATCCTAATTTCGAAGGACTCTTGAACAACATTTCTATTATCTTCAGCTTCAGCCCCATAGACCTTATTTTCCATACTTACTCCTTTACAAATTTTTTGTTCAGCGCCCGCTACTCCTTCTCCTTGATTATTCAGCGGCAGATTCCCATCAGCGCCCTCCCCCGGCTTCTTTTCTTCAGTTTCAACAACATCTTCAAGCATTTGCGGATGATCCCTTTGGTTCCCAGGCCCCGTTTTTGACTCCGAAGAATTCTCGTGCGCCTTCACATCCTTAGGAATACCGGCCAATAGTTTTGTGTCTTTGAGAATAGTTTCTTTCATTGCTTGCAAGAAAGATTTTGGTAGTCGCACTGGAATAGCGGCTTCCTAAGGAAAAGAAAAAACAGCTAAAAGTTTAGACAATGTATCACTAGACACATTTTTATATTAAAGTGTTCTACCGTACGAAAAAGGCCAGCTGCTGATAACGAAAACTATTTAGGAGAAAATCCGGCCGGAATCGCAGCAAAGAAGGTGCTGTAATTGAAGTTATCTAACTGACAGGTCATTTATTGAAAGCATTACGTAGCAAGCCTTTCCTAAATACATAAATAGTGTCAAATTGGCAGCTGTTTTAAATGTTGTTAAAAACAAGAAATGAGGCAATATCATTTGAACACTACGATAAGACGAATTTTTTTCAATAACTTTAAAGGCAAATTTTTGCAAAAAAAATTGTTTATTTCTTGCGGGAAGGACCAACCTTGGTTAATTTGAGCTGAGGCCTTGGTCCTTCTGGCACTCCATCCACCATATCCATCGCTGCTAGGACTTTGTCTGCCTCCAGATCCGTTCTTTTGTCTTCCCCTGCTAGGCCAGTTTCAGCAAAGCTCCACCTTCGCTTATCTTTTTGCCGAATATTATCATTCTTAAAACTGTCATCATTAAGTGCAGCCTCGTTTGTCCTTGGCAATTCAGAAATGTTGGTAGCTGCAATATCCGGTTTCAAACCTTTGGGCGTCGGGTTATAGTTTCCAGGAGTACTGGAAACGGTTGTTGTTGTTAATGATCCGTCAGCGGACGCCTTTTCCCAATCGAATGGCTCGTTTTCGTGAACACCTTTGCGCGACATAGCATCCGCAAAGCAACACTCCAAATACTAAACGCAAGATGAAAATTGTAATTAAAAAGCCGGCGACATGTTTCTTGCAACGAGTTTCCTACAATCGACTTCCACAAGATACGACATGATAACGCAAAGGAAACCAGACGAAAGCCTTAGTCATAAATCAAAGGCCTATTTGGTAGGAAAATTCAATCGATACAGCTCCACAATTGGAAAGCAAAACAAGGATTACAAGGGTTCAGAAAAACAAAACCAGATTTTCTTCCTATTACAAGATTGACCGATAACACATAAATACGTTGCTAAATAATAAAATATTAAAATGAATGATTTGAAGCAAAATCCAAAGCTTGCCATGTGAAAAATTCATGCTCTCAGATCTCTCAGCTATTTGTAAAATTCAAACATAAAATGCTCTTCAATAACAGAATAGACAGCTTTTTCGATTTTCGGAATGAAAACATTGCGCATGACACATAGCAATCGTAGCAAAAGGGTTTTTAAAACAAAGATATGTTTTGCAAAGTGTTCAATCTGTTACTAAAAATGGTTCAGCTTCAGCTGAAATAAATCTAGTACATACTTCCAGCCTTTTTTGACAACAGAAGGTCCCAGGTACTTTTGAAAACACAAACCCCTGGGACCTGCTAAATATTCAACGAAGCATTTGATGAAGAAAAAAGGAGATCAACTCAGACCAACAAAATGGTTGAAAGAGTATTTGGAGGTCATTTGGAAGAATTATAAGTTGTTTCAATCAAATAACAGAAAGCAAATTGATAAAGATATATTATTGATATCACTAAGAGACCCTAACAAAGATTGCTTAGGACAGAATAAGCTTTTATAAGAGACCCTAACAAAGATTGCTTAGGACAGAATAAGCTTTTATAAGCCTAAAAATAATCCCAATTTTTAAATATGCTTTGAAATTCAAGTTTTTCATTGGTTTAGATTTTAGAATATCTGTGGTTTTTGATGTTATTAAAAACAAGTAGAATTATTGGTTATTACTGTGCACCTCATAATCCGGCCGATCAGCATATCTCAGTTCCTCAATGTGCTTCAAAAAACCTTTGAACTCAATCGGCAGTTGTCTCAACAGCTGCTTGTGATCATACGCCTTCTTGAATGTGCCAACTTCTTCCTATTTAAAACAAACCCTCATTACCCCTTACAAAAAGAAAAAAGCTCGTATTGGAGCTTACAAGTTAAAAATATTTTTAAAATGCCAAGTTAACAGATCTTTGAATTTATTCTCATCTTTTCAGACTCAACGTATTCAAATGTTTAGAAATGTTACCAGTTATCCACTGTTTAGGCTAATTCTTTGATCACGCTAAGAAACCCTTTTTCCTTTTTTTATTTCTATCGTTGAACAAAACGTCAAATTTCCAAGCGAATTTCAGAGCTACAATCACAACTGCTTTGAGATAACAAATACCTTATCTTTCAGCTTTCTCCATGGTAGGCCTCCTTGTGCAAATTCCACAAGCATATAAAACACGGACCACAAATCGTCTCGACGACTCATTTCCTGTAACAGCCAAAAAGGTCTTCTTTAAATATCGCTAAAGGGCTCTTTCTAGTCAATTTATTTTCAAGGACAGCTTAGTGACAATATAAATAAACAGACACTGATAGAAATACCACAGATTTCCGATTGGACTAAAATGCTAGATAGCGAATCAAAATATCTGATAATCAGTCAAATAGATCTTCTCAATTTTTAACTGTTTAATATTTTGACAAGAATCCTACCAGCTTGAACAAAAATTGATGTCATTGGGGAGAGTAACAAGAAAGTGTAAACCATGCACATATTTAAACTATCCCACCCATGCAAAAGTAGGCTTGCCAGAGAAGATTTCCAAATGTCGAAAAGGCGGCTTTCCAAACTTTCTGGGAAGGGAAGGGAAGGATGGCTAGCTGTCTACAGTTGGTTTTATTTTCAAAAAGGTGAGAACATTCAAAAGCAATACATGTCTGCTTTAAGAAACCATTTGAATAAGAATAGTCTTTGCAGGTAATCACAATTATATCACACCTCACCAGGAAACTGTTTTTCTTAAATTCCTTTACTCTGCCAAGCACTGTTCCTTATCAATGCAATCCGTTTAAATTCAAAAGATAAACATTAAAAACAAAAAATCATGAGCTGATGTTATTTTTGAAGAACCAGAGCGTTAAAAAATATGATAAAATGGCAAACCTTATTATCGTGAGCGTTAATGGACGCATAGCGTACAGTCCCCCTGAAACCAGCGACAGGACGTGGCTAAAAAAGAAATAAAAGCCATCTTTCAACTATTCTAGAGTCAGTAGATAATTCCTTATGAATCCCTTCCAAATATAAATGGAGAAATAACGCTAAAATTTTTCACCACTGTCACCCTATTACCCTTCACCAACTTGTGCAGCTTCATAAAATATGAATCAAATCTTGAAAAGCCAAAGACACACAACTCTCAAGCTCTGGTCCCAAGCTCTGGTCCCAAGCTCTGGTCCCAAGCTCTGGTCCCAAGCTCTGGTCCCAAGCTCTGGTCCCAAGCTCTGGTCCCAAACTCTGGCATTGTTGATATCAGCAAGCAGTAAAACTTCATAAACTTTGAAAAAAATCATTACTTACAACAAAAGGGGCTCATGTAAATATCAAAAACAAGAAAACACGTGGCTTTTTTAAGTTACAATCCAATTACGGTAAAAAAACTTTGAAAACAGGGCGTGCCAATACTCAATTTCAGTTACCTCGCAACTATGATGACAAAAGTTAGCATTTATTAAGAAAAAGCCTAAGTGTACGAGAATACATCATTATACAACTAACCGGCCTTCAAAACTTTTAAACTTTGATTGATCTTGAAAAAGTTAACACCTACATCTGCAGAAACTTTTTTTGTCTTTCAGCAGTATAGTCGCAGGGTAAAAACAGCCCTTGAGGGTGACGTATATACATAATCCCACCTTCAACCAATGGTTTTATCAACACAAATCACGTGATATAAAACAGTATGCTTCACAACTGTAGAACAAATTTTCTAGAGGCAAAGACATTACCCTGTCTGCAAAGATATTCTTTTCAGCAATGATTTCTAAATAAAAAAAAACAAAAATATTTACAAGTAAAGTGTTAACATACCGTCCTGACATGCCCCTCGTTATTCACATATTGTCTGCTTAGGCCAAAATCTAGCATAAACACGAGCTTCTTTGTGTCTATGGTGTTTCCGATTGCAAAATTCGACTAGACAAAAAAAGGAAACGACAATTTAGGAAATTGCGGACTTTAAACTTAACGCCACGCCTGTGAAGGTCTTTTTACTGGGGATGCTTGCCCTACCTATAGCTGTCTTCAACAAAAATACTATCTGTATCAACTAAATAAAACATTTCGAATAAGATGGTCTGCTCTTCATATGGATTCTTTTTCAGACCTTGGCAAACAACGCAGGATGCGAATATAAACTTTTTGTCACAATTTCCACTGCGGTTTTTACAGTGTTGGAAAAATGTTTACATGTAGACTAACCTGCTTTAACATATCCCAAAATGAACGCTGTCTAATATTTTCACTTTTGACTGCGTCTTAAAAGCTTTCGCTTGATATGAGCTTTTGTTCATACTAAGGGATACACTTTAAAAAAGAGGGGTATATTTATATTGTTTTTGTACGGTTATTAGTTGAATTTAAGGATATTATTTCCAGAAAAGCTCCAACTATATTAGTTCCAGTCGCTGGCATTAATGATCTCAAAAAACTGAGAACTTTCTTTTCTTTTCAAAAAGGAGTTAAAGGAGACTCGTAAAGCTTTTGATAAAAAACATACCAACAGTAGCAAAGCTGCAAAATCAAATTCTTATCAATCCTTGATTACTTATTGAGAGGATATCACTTGAAAATAATGTTAAAACGAAAGGAAATGGGAATATCAATTTACAGGCTTAACATCCCGGTGCAAGAATCCACAGTCATGAATAGCTTTGATACATTCAATAATTTGAATGCCAAGTCGAAGATAAGTACTCTGTGTAAAAAGTCCCTTCTGCTGATTTCTTCTTAGCTCAGCTAAGTTGGGACCAACTAGAGACATCACAACATAGTTGAAGCGGTCATTACGACCACAGCTCACAAATTCACAGACATGCTGGTCACCTGCAAGGAATCAATATCCAGTCACAAATCTGCATAAGTATTCATTGATATGGTACAGATATCAAGATATGAATGGTTAATTATTAGGAATAATGTGGCAAAAGTTTAATAGAAGTGGTTTGATAATTTCATGGCACAGAACTCCTGTGATGAGTAAAGGCTTGGCTCCAGTACAGTGGCGTAGCGTGACTTTTTCAACTGGGTATTTTCTATTAAACAAAAGGGTGGGGCAGGGTGTGGCTCGATGGGGCTTGATGAAAATAGGGGGATAATAGGAAGATTAAAAGGACTAGCTATTGACATTTGATCTAATTTTCTTTTTGGTTCGGTTGGCAAGTACTGCACTGCCAGGGCATTACTATGATGAAAACGATACTTTGCTAAAGGACCCTTCAAATATACTCTTCGAACTCATTCGTTGCATCAAATTACCACTAACCATTTCATCAAAAGTAATTCAAATCAAAACATATCATTGAAAGCCAGTAAAATTTTACTGGTCGAAATATGTCCCAATAGTTGTTGTTGAATCGTCTAACATTTGCACTGATGTAAAGAGGAAGTAACTGTAAACACCTTCTCTTGATACCTTAATACAAAAGGGCTTTCGAAAGTTTCACAATTATTCACATAGGGCATTACATGAGTTATAAATGATATTGTGGTATGCAGTATAGACTTTTTCTTCATGGCATTCATGCATAATCGTGATATTTTCAATACAAGTTAATATTTGAAAGAATCGAAGGTAATGAGATGAGACTGCACAATAATGCAAATAAATGCGCTCGAAGAATGCAAACAAAATAGGCCAACAAGATAACTGAATACACCAGGCAACTATAAGGATATTATCCAGGCCTATCTGCATTTACTTTAATTCTATCACATAATACAAACAGAAACATCCCTGATTTGCAAGCAATAACAAATTGGCATTTCAAGAGGGAACAGATCTGAGTCAGTGTAGTATTATGTAGCAGCCTACCTTTCCTTTCCACTTTGCTGTTGGTAGATTAAGTTTAGTGGTCAAATGAGAGAATGATTATGAAACAGTAATACGGACATTGCAATAGTTTTTTAATTAAGTCATGTTTACTGTTTTCGATGCAGCTCCATCACTCCAACCGCTCCGACGTTCATTAACTGTTTATATCGATCTCATAACGAGACTATTTTGAACCAACTTTGAGGCTGTACGCTGCATATTTCTCAGCGTACAGAACCATTGTTTTAGCTGATTAACGGCAAATATTATTCATGGAAAGGAGCATTTTGATTGGTTAAAGTACGGGCTAGGGTATTCACTGCGTATTCATGACCGATCTCCATACAACATGAAGTAGCTCAATCTTCAAAATTAGCTTCAAAGATCTCCCAGCTTCTCTATGCTTCGCAGCGTTATTGTTTCCATGAATTTGATGATATTTTGTACTTGTACAAAATGTAGAATATCGGAGGTAACGAATTCAAACAGAATCAATAGCCCCAAAACATTTTTTACTTATTACAATTATACGTCGTATTAAGATTTTTTCTGAGAAATCTCAGGGTATTCACTGAATACCTTGAATACCCGGACGCTACGCCACTGCTCCAGTATACCCCTTCTACAGAACCGAGAAATTTTAGATGTAAACGATAAAGTAACAAACATAAAAGAAATTTTGGGCTAGCAATTAAACAAAGCATAATGTAAAACATATATAATATGAGCTAGAATACAATTGTTGGTGTACTGTTGGAGATGAGCTAATGGACTGATCTCTTGGTGCATAAGGCTGTGCCATATCATGGTAGGAACATACCATAGAGATTATAAATAACCACAGACCCACATGATCACTGTTAATAGCCATCTCTCTTTAATTTGGGGTTTGTTAAAACTTGTAACAAATGTAATTTACTTTAACACCTATCAACAGTAAACATGATCTACCATCATATCAAATCTTGTGGTAGCACAAAAATGTTTTGATTCTACCAACAAAGATGAGTGATCATTAAAATAGTAAAAGTGCTCAATTTTCCCTGTTATTTTTCCTGTGCCACAGCTTAAAACAATTTTGGGATTTTACAACATGAACAGGATTTGATAATAAGAGAGATGTCAAAACTTTGCCCACCTTGTAATTTCTTTATCACAGCAACTTCCATTTTCAGAACCTGTTTTGTTGTTGTTGCTGACTCTAGCTTTAATGCAACCATATGCTGTGTATTTGTATCGTGGGCTTGGTAAATCTCCCCTGAAAGAGGCAACATGACTAGATAAAATAAGGTGCCCATAAAAAATCATGCCCCTTTTTCAGAATACTATTAACAAGTAATATTACCAATCAAATGTCCATATTTAAGTAATGTGCTAATGGGCATTAGTTGAGAAAACTGTACTAAAATACATACATATTTGAATTTTGTTATAAGACAAAGCCAGTTTAATTAGAATCTGAAATTTGGGAGTTTTAGAATGCCCTGTCATGTCCATATTATCTTTCTATAAGAAATAGTGAAATAACTCATACACTGTATCTATTTTCTTATTTTGCTACTTTCTATTTCCTTTTTCAAGCTTAAGAAAACAAATTTACTAGACCTGAACTGCATACTAACTCGTCAAATCAAGCAAGGGCTATCTTCTAAAAAACATATAATCATTATTTCATTCTAAAGAATGTATTCTGAAATCTAAAATGTGTATGATCTTGGCAATGTCCCAACAGCCAATATTCTGCAGACTGCAATCTATAATTTTTCTCTTTATGACATCTAATAAAAAACAATACCATTAACATCTTCCATGTATACTAAAACATTTAAAATGATAAGAGAGGACTGGCAGCAATATGGCAAGTCCCAACAGCCAACATTTTAGTGAATTAAAACTGGTAAGTCATAAGTTTATCCAAACCTGTGATAATTGTAGCCTGATAAGGCATATATATGGCTTTATGTTTTATATTTATATAAATTCTATAAATTTAATAGTTTCACATGACAAGTGGCACACATTTAAGGGTACTTACCAAACCCACCACCCCCAATTTTCTTTATCTGAAAAGTAAAATAGCATAAAGTTAATCTTCATGGCACTGTCAAACCCATCCTTCAAACCAAAATTGTTTTTCCTGTTCTAGCAATGAAGTTTTTTGAAACAACCACTACCGAAAGAAATTCACAATGTATCCCTTTAAGCTAATCCCCATGTGTCAGCCTCAGTATGTTAGGTCAAGCATAATTTTGTAAACCTTTGACCTTTTGGGTCAGCAATGTCAATGCCATTGATTCTTTAGATCAAACATGAATTTTAACTACCAACAAATGTTGTGGTAACCTTGACAATTGGCAAAAAAGGTAAACAACTTATTTACACAAAGTATGGAGCCAAGGATTTGCTAATTGAAATAATCAGATTGGCACAGAAAAGATGACCATGGGTAGAGCCAGCTTGGCTCTTTAATAGAGATAATAATTTTTTAGCTAAGCAAGAAAATCTTCAAGCAGCAAAAAAATATGCACGATTTATTTAATTTCACTTATAGTTAAGAGTATGGTTTGAATTTGCACTTTTAGCTTGAAGTGTAAAGACATACAATTTTCCATCGTTGTCGGATGTATTCACCAACTTTGATCAAATCATCACTCATTTCAATCCTCTGAAAACCAGCTGACTATGGCACTAAACGTTCTCTCAAATAGCACCAGATTTCTTGCCTAAAAACAATCCATTAGAAATCAATTGGCTTAATATTCTTAATTTCTTGATTTAGCAATTAGTGCAACATAGATCAATTGAGACACTGGCTTATCAAAAGCAATTTAAGTAGATTTGTGTCAATTTGATCATTTAATAATGTTAATAATAATAAATAATAATAATAAATATCCCGAATATTCATTCTGGATAAAAATCTTCAACTTGAAAAGCTGTTATCAACATGTGTCCAGGGAAAAGAATTAAACTTAAAATGAAAACCTTGCCTAATGTACCCAGTAAATTTAAATGTTACAAATTTTTACAAGTTTGAAAAGGTTTCAGCTTTAGTGTTCCTTTAAGAAAAAGGTGCTCTCGCATACTGAAAAGGGTGTTTTTATTTATTCCCTCTATAACCTATGATAGATGTGTATGCGTGGTTTGGTGGGTTTATGCCATCAATGTGATGCCTTGTGGGTCTTACGAATTATTTATAGATGTAGGTGAAAGTTTTGTGTATTGGATGACTATATACTCCAAATAAAATATTGCTCAAAGTCTATGTAAAGATGAAATATGTCATTTAAAGTCAAAGTAAATTTGGTAGCAAGTAATATTTCCATACAATAAGACTTTCCATATGTCATTCAGATATTTGTTTACTTTACAACAAGTATTTGCAAGTTGGGATTTTCCCTTGAGGGAAAAAGCAAAGATAATAATGGACTTTGTTGTAAAAAACGTAATGAAAGTCCCAGTGCAACAGTTATGAGAAAATTGTTTTGCTGAGTTGGCTAGCTGACTGTTGCCACATTTAGAGCGAATCATAAGTATTATAAATCCAAGAAAAGAGCATTAATAAATAAATATTACTGCAGGTAAACACATTCAAGGATAGAATGCAATGCATATTTGCCTCCGTGTCTCCTGCCGTTCACAAAAACAAGCAATTGTGGATAACAATTTAGCTGTCTTGGCATGACAAGATTAATATTGTAACTAGTAAATACTATAATACTAAGAATGGGCGAATGGAAGTTAAGATAAAATTCTGTTATCAAAATATAGGTTGAAAAATAGCGCTAAACATTTCGGTTCTGTTAATTGTAGCTCTAGACGGGTTTAGGCCATCTTCAAATCGATGTTGTAGCAACCGATATAACGACGCTTGTCAGAGCAAACTTCACACTAAAACAAAAGTTTCCCTGGGTTTGAAAACAAGAGCTCACCATATTATTGTTTAGTGCTTTTCTCGTCTGTGTCTCGGAAATCATTTCTCTCTGGATTCCAAACTGGTTGGCATTCCGCTTCCAACGTATGTTCATGCAAATTAGCAGCCTCGCATTTATTATCACAAATGAGAAATCTGAGGCACCCGACAAAGCAATTATGTTTAATTTACTATCCGTCGCAAATAATTCAAATGCCACCAAAAGAAAGCAAACAACCAGGGTGACATGAATTTCATAACAACTATAATCGCAGTCGCCTGAAGATAAATATTTGTTGGAAAATTACTTCTTTGTCGAAATTGGTAGGAAAATGTTGCCTTTACTTAGTCTCCCCCCCCTAAAAAAATTTAACCCTCGCACTCGGTTCGCCCCTGTGTAGCACCGGAACCTTTTAGGAGAGGAACGTTCAAGGGTATTAGCGTGTTCATAACTTTTCTAGAAATCAGTTTCGCTTAGATTGCAAGACTTGGAGAATTGTAACGACCCTTTTTCTAAAAAATTATTTGAAAAAAGTGTCACTTGCGTATTTATTTAGCTTATTCCAGAAATGCACTTTTCCAGACACCAACTTTTTGCTCATTGGGTTTGGGTGTTGGGAATAAGCACTTTTCCAACTAAGATGAATTCTTGATGTTTTACCTCCTCCACTGGCACGCAATTAGCTACTTGCCACCCAGAAAACTTTGTTTCTATGTAAAAATGATCGAAACTGTTGTTTATGAAAACAGGATAAAAGATGTATTTAAAGTATTAAACATCAATTTTTAGGAAAAACCGGCTCCATTTTGGTAAAGTGGAGTATTGTTAGCAGTATTGTTAGCTGGGAAAAATATGTTGATCTAAAGAGCCCTTTCGAATCACTGTCTGAAAGAACAAGTGGTCTTATAGAAATAATAGATATATGAAATGTTATATAGTCAAGTGGCCTTTTACAATACAACACTATGTAGTCATTAAAGGCTAACACTGTTTAAAGGATTAAACTTGTAAAAGATTAGCCTGGATAATTAAAAACCAAGTACTAGTTGGCCTGGATAAGAACAAATATTCTATTAGGAGATAATCGTTTGATAATGAATGCGTTTTCTTACTAAGTGGCGGTTTTATGGTGTAATCCCCAAATAAAATAGAATGTGTACCTTGGTGATATTGCATATCTACAGAATTAATTATTCCTCCTGATAACTTTACTCAGAAAAAGTTTAAAACAAGGCGGGGTTTTTTTGGGGGGGGGGTGACCGCCATGCCCAACGGGTCCTGCATACTTACCACCTACAACCTACCATACTCACTACTTGTCCTTATAATCTTAAGCCCATTGTCTGTAGTTATTGCTTTCGGTCTAACATACGGGACAACACTGAGCTTTTTGCAAATCATGTGAAAATTTGCATATATTTTTGGCTGTGCATTCATTGAACTATCGGAAAACTTTGAGGTTATAGCTGAATTTTGAGAAAAGTCTGAGTCAACTTGTTTTTTCCACTGAAGAACATCGCTCTTAAAGTTCATACCCCAAGGGGTATTGGCTTGCCAAAGCAGTTTTGTGCCACAACTATGTTTTGTGCCACCAGAAACATGTTTTAACGGTTCCATGCCAACAGCTATTAAAGATTGATTAAATTAAAAACATTCACATTAATGTAATGTAATACTGTGGTTTAAACAAAAAAGTGCGCAATAGTTATCCATGATATCATAATGGCAATCAATGGCACCAAAACCTCTCCTTGTGGTACTTTCTCTCTATGACTTGATGTTTTAAGTGTAATTTTGTGATAATCAACTGCCAAAAAATACGTTGGATAACCTCAGTCTATCACATTCCAAGCCCATCAACCTGTCAAAAGCTTGCAGTGTTGAAAGGGACATCAAGAAACGTCAGCCTAACAAACATTGCTTCAAACTTAGTGCTTCAATCCTCAAGAAAAATACATATCAAATCCAATTCAATAAGAAATTTTACAAATCCTAGCTAAAATACTTAATGTTTAGAAAAAAGAACAAAATGTTTAGTTGATTTTACGGCACCTATTATAACAACTGCACGAAAGAACAACCCAACAAATCGACGAAAGAAGACGCGAGAAAGAAAGATGGCAGTTGGTCCCAGAGAATTGTATTCTTCTAATAAACTGGATATTCGACAAGAATTAAAATACTTATTTACACAATATCTAATGCATCTAGGAAACTATCCTTTTCAGGACAAAGACGTAAAATGTATCATACATCAATTTCAGGACAAAGACTTAAAAGGAATTATACTGGCTAAAGAATTCGTTTGCAGCCAAAACACTGGCTTTCCATTGGTGACACGGTTTATTTGATTCGCTTGTCAGTCAATCCATTTGGTTGGTCTAAAACCACTGAAACTTTCACCGACTGTGCGTTTTGAGCGATTCAATGTCGTCCTGAAAAAAATTACTCACATTACTTAAAATAGAGGGATTTATTCTGGCTAATACCCCTCACATAGAACCAAATGAATTTTGTATGACCAGAGCAGAATCAGAAACTGAGAAAGATGATTTCAAACCAACCCCGCTTGGTGATACTAGGCAATGTCGCATAATCTTGCATACTGACGACGAGATTTGGAATCTTGTTCGTCATTTGTGCAAAAAACATTTTCTTTGGGGGTACCATGATACGTGCTCAAACGTGGTCTGCTTCAAAGTTCAATCAGAAAATCTTCATAATAAACCTGACATATTTCTGTCAAATATTATGTATGGAATACAAAATATTATCGTGTGTACACTACTGTCTGCTGATACAAACTGATATCCATATTCTTATAAGCAGCAGCTTAAATTGCTTCTAATTGCATAATCTACTTTCAATGGTTTTGGAAGATTTAAATGGCAATCCATGGCGGTAGTTCATTCAAATTCAACTAATTTTCCTCTCGCAAAATTTATAGATGTCGTTTCGTAACGGGACAAAAATCAAAGCAAAAAGACAAAATCATATATCATAAATTAAACAGCTTTTAGAGATGAACTCCATACCTTTTGTATTGAGAAGTTTCTGCCTTGCTTTCATGAAAGCTATTATATCAGCGTCTGTTTTACTATCCCCCGTCAGGTGAATGCCAGCAATGCTTCTGTGAAAAGGAAGTACAGTTTTTCTAAGAAATGAATTAGTACAGCGTTCCAAGAAATAAGTAAAATTTGAAATCTAGTTCGCTTTACGAGCTTCTTGACTAAATTTAATGTTATATCAAATGACATAAGCCTGGAGTTGTCAAACCTCTCGGGTGACTTACTTGGGGACTGAACCCATCCTTTATGACTGGTGCACAATAGCAGGGAGAATTTCGAAAATTTTACAGCTTTAAAATTCAACCTGTTTCATATTCAAATCAATTATCTTCCTTTTCACTTACTTTGAAAACTGTAGTTTCCCTTGTTCGAGTAACAGTACCTCACCTATCTAACATTTTACTTTCAAAAGTACCAGTTATCAGACATTGACTGTGTGTATTGACTATAAATAAAAACCTGGTTCATATTTTTCATTCAGCTCTTCGTTTAGTCAAAAGTAAAGGACTTAAGCTGAGCATAAAAAAGTTTTCATTCAATTTGATATTAAAGTTCGTCATATAAAATGAAAAGAATCACAAAACTTTTGAGAATCTGCACTGGTACATACATCGGATTTATTGCCGTTTAAAAGTTCGAAATTGATGTGTGTTTGGTGAAAAATGCGATTCATGTTTGAGTTTGCAAAGGGTCTTGAGACGAATCTGCTGTGACGTAAAATCAGGAACTTTTGGTTTAGGCAAAGAGCTGTTTTTGGAAGGATTAGAATGCCATGAATGTTTTTTGCAGTGTGCTAAAATCTTTTAACAGTTGATGAATGGAGATTTAAGTGGTTGTTTAGCTAGTTAAAGGTTGGTCACCAATGAAGGTCGAAAAATTACTTTTAAATACATGATTCTTCATCAAGAGAAAAAATCTCTCAAAAGCACCAACCTTTATCTTTTATTTCACAACTTGATATATATGATATATAAAACTTTATAAATAAAACTGAGTAATTTTGCGATAAATACTGAATCAGATTCAAACTTACGTGTCTACAGGCGCCGTTTTCTGATGACTACTGTGTTTTCTTGCTTCAGTCAGTTGTGATAACGATTCTCTACGCGGGTCGTCAGCAGAAAATATCGACGATGCTAAATGGGCCTCTGCTCGCAGTTTACTAGCCATCCGTCCGGTCTCATTATGGGTTTCGTATTCGTTTTGCCACGCGGCACTGTCTTTGCTACTGCTGCTTGAGTCAACAGAGCCGTGTCCGCTTGCGTTTCTTGACGCGCGGGCATTGCGAAGAATTTCATGCAAAGGCTTGTCCGGAGTGACTGGCGGTGTCTTCCAAGCCATTTTCGACGATGCCTGAGCCTAGAAATGGTTAAAATAACCCGTCATCGATCTAGCCATAGTAATCTATGTAGACTTAATTGGCATTTTGGCTGTAACAAGAAATTATTCTGGCGCAAAATTCACAGATAAACACCATAAAATCGGATAAGGAAGGACAAACACGAATCACTCGCAAAACGTATTCATTTATACTTAATCATATAATTGACTTTAAAAACAGTCAAATACAACACTTTCAAAAAATCTTATAAAATCTAAGGTAAATTGAAAATATCTGTTGAGAGCTTGGTACTAAAAAACTACTTTGCGCGAAAAGAAAAGTCATGCATAAGCTTAGCTTAGAACTTTGGTAAAACAGGACGGTTCTTTGTTGCAACTCTGACTTCCGCGCGCCATGTGATCATTGGGTTGTTCTATACAGTTGCGTTATTCACGGTATCCAACAATTTTATGACAGACCGGTTAAACAGTAATTTTAATAGAGTTCTGAATATATATACCTGCAATGCAAATATTCTTAAAAGCACTAATAAAGACGAAATTATAAGTAGCACTTTTAACAAACTCCCGAGTTGAATACCTGGCCTACTGTATCGATGAAAATTGCATTTTTTGATGCATCCGTCCACCAAATTTCGAAATCTTTCTGCATTTGAACTTTTGACTTCTCAAGGAGATGTTGCAAGTGTTCAATTTCCGTTTTCAGATTCTTGAGCTTTGTAAATGCATCTTTGTAGCTGGAGGATTGGAAGAGCAATGACTAAGATTTGCCTTCTAATAAGATTTAAAACAACAGACAATAAACCTGGTATTGCAAGGAATACAATTATCAATAACACATCAAACAAAAGTGGTGGAATCATCAGATTTCATTATATTTTCAGAAAAATGCCACAAAGAAGAGCACTGAGTAGCCAAGCTGCAGAGAAGCAATCATTGGTGGTAGGTATCTGAAACAGTCGGTGTGTAATTTCATTAAAAGGCCTCCGACCTCTATTTTATAAGCCCAATATACATTATGATTGCGTAGGTACAGTAATTCAATATCAATTGTATATGATAACATACTGATCACTCAACGCAGAAACTAACCTTTTTTGAAAAAAATCAAAGGCATAAAGACACATTGATCATGGTACAAATATTTAAGTAAATAACAAAATTGCGTCATCGGTTAAAAAGGTAAATAAAGAAATGTGGTAAAATGGCAGCAGGGTTGCTGATTTATAGAATTAAATAAAACATACGTCGCTTTTTCTCTGTTTAGTAATTCTCTTAACTTCATTTCCTTTGGATCTGGTTCGTTTGCAGATACATCGCCAGTTAGGCCTGTTGATTAAAATCGGATTCAAGATCTTCTATTCACTAAGCTACTCCTCGAATTAAGATCTTTTTCATAATCAAATCTATACTTTAATGTTATTGTAACAATTTTAGCGTTGTAAATGTGATCAGGAAATGAAGCGGCCCAATCAAGAACCCCAATAATTCTGCCTAATGAGGTCTCTCTAAACGACAATAATAGATTCTGAATCATCACAAGGACTTTCTCCTGACCAGCCAGTATTTCTTAGTAAAATATTTCGGTTTTTCATTCTAAATCGTACAAAATATCTCCCCAATGATAAAGTACGATTCATAATTACGTCAAATAAGGACTTTGGCATGATAAAATTTTCATCTCAGTTCAGAATTACGAGGATTCTCTAAAAGAAGACTAAGTGCAATATCGAGACGTACAATTATCAAGGATTTAGAAAAAGGCAGTTGTGAAATTGCTCGGCAAACTTTGGGCAAAGGCAATTAGATTTTTCACTTGAAATGTGTTGTTAACAATCAATCAGATTTTGTGTTAAATGTTAACAATCAGGGAGTATTACCTTGCATCGACTGACGAATCTTCTGCTGCTCAATTTGCGACTTGAACGAATCTAGAGTCAGGAGTAAATTTTTTTAACCAGCAAGCTTGTCAAGTGACATAAAGGTTCTAGATTATAGGATAACAAATGATGACGTCATAACATCGCCTTGTAGAAATTTGAATACAGTTAAGAAAAACTGAAAGACCCTATACAATAATCCCAGCTATGTGAAATCGATTTATGTGTTTTAAACTGGTTGACATATGGTCAGTGAAAGATCTGAAGCTTACAAAAGGATCAGTTTTGTTTTGACTTGGCTCATAACGTGTAGATCTAGACTGCTAGTTATTTGATAGGGAAATCGAGTGAGTTCATTTGGTTATATTTCAGTTAATTTTGATTTGAGACGACTATTGCATTACATGTGGGGCTTGACACCTTTTTATATACATTCACTACAATCGTTTTCAAGTATCAAAAACTTTTGAGGCAAGTTCAACTATTCACCCAACCTAAATACAGTTCCCACTTTGCCCCTGTATCTATGTACCGTTCCCACTTTGCCCCTGTTATAGCAACTTAGTTGAATTCGATAGGAATTGCACCCAGCAAATAGGCAGCCTTGAATAACCGTCAATGTTTTCTTTAAAAATTCGACCAAATAAAACTTCAATGCAATTCAAACGTAAAGAAATGATAATTATACAATAAAGAACCCGAAAATTCAGCTTTCATAACAGTGGTTTCTAAGGAAAGTAAATCTTCGAATACCAGTGCAACTGATGCCTATTGTTACAATTGATAACTAGCAAGTTTGAGTATTCACAAAGCAACTTATTTCTGTTTTGTGAATTTGCTCAAACCGACCCGTAAAAAACATATGGATTGCATACTTATTGCTTTCCTTGACTCGTTGACTTGCTCCCCAAGCGACTTTGCCTCTGCGTATCTATGTAATGAGCAAATCAACATCAATTTTTTGCATACAGTTGAGCTAAAGAAAGTTCCTCATCCATTTATTGGTAAATCAATTAATTAAAAAAGGGTGATATCAATGAATGAAAATTTTAATATAACTTGAAATCAAGGTTAAATTGTAGACAGAAAATAAGAACAAATTTTAAAAATTACGTTTCGAGCGTAGCCCGTATATTTAATGGAAGTTTTAGATTGAGTTGAAATGCATGGTCGCTTGAAACTTTGGTAAGGTTGAGCATTTTGGTAATAGTTTCTTATACCGAATTTACTATTTTTTGAAAAAATTCCTTTGTTTAATCGTCGAACAAAAACTGACATAAAGGAATATAAAAATGCAGTTCAACGCCTTGTTCAAAAACGAAAATAATGAACTTAATTTTCTTCAATTTTGGATTGCTGACAAAGAAGCCTGAACAAGTGTATAGTGGCATGCATATGTAATACCACATCTACCCCCTTCGCAATTCAAAACTGGAGAACATGTATTTTATTATATAGAGATACCAACACTGGACCGGGGGCAAAGGAGTGCAAATCTTAACAACGCTTGCTCATGACGGTAGGCTTATTGTGAAATTGTTGTTCGGCATATTCGTGCAGTTTAAGCTTGAAATGAACACTTAAAAACGAAGCTCAAAAATACTTACTTTTCTTTAAGAGATTTTTTCTGTTCGTGAATCGTGTGATTGTGTTGGTAATTTTTCTTAAATGAGTCGAAGGCTTCTTGCCTGGCAACAGACATTTGGCCTACATGGAAAAATCTCCTTTTAGTCTGAATCATAATTGCTTCTTTGAGATATATGTACCAGAAATGCATTTGATTTACAAATCTAGCTATCATATTTGCTTAAACGAATGCTTAAAAATTTGCAGCTTTGCCAGAAAGTGTAGGGAAATTGAAGTTATAATGAATGCAAATTAGACAATGACGATACCAAACGAATGAGCATTTGTGATAAGAAGGATTAGACAGTGCATCAAAGAGCAGTGAAGCAATCAGACGATTCTTAAGTAAATTTCAGTCCTGATAGTTAAATAAATGATATGGTTCAGCGCCTGAAATAAAACAAGCCCACTTGTGGAGGCTGAGAAACTCCACAAATCTTCCTTTACATTCATAATGCAGCCTGTGGGATCGCAGATTATTGAATAACACATAGTTCCTGATTACAACTTGGTCAAGCTCAACAAGTAACCACAGTTGCCAAATCTAAATCGTGTTTCAGGCAAAGCTGCGTTATATCCTTGGCAATTGGTTTAATCACCAGTAAATGCAATCAAGTATTCTAGAATTTATAACAGCAAGCTTTATCGATCTTAAAAGGCTCATAACTTGACACTTCTTTATAGTTTACTAAAGTATGTAAACGAATAGAATTAGGGTAGTATGCGCATCATAAAGCATCATCATTGAAACACATATTTTTTTGTAGCAAAGATTGACGACTATTCACAAAATGATTAACCATAACCAGGCACCGCGCAGCCATTGGAAAAGCAGGGGCTATAGCCCACCCACTTTTTTGCAATGTAAGGCTAGAAAACTTTTTTGAAGATTTACTCTAACGCAACTTTGGATAGTTTACTCCTATGTAGCAGCAGTTCTCATTGATTGGGAACCATTTTCGTTCTTTTCCTAGGTGCTTCATCTTGTTTAATGATATGATGTATTTTCTAACTTGGTTAGCTTGGTTTTTTATTACCCTCGAGCTAATTCGATCTATTTTTATAGTTATTGATATTATCTTCTCTGAACCAGACTGTTTATAAAAATTCAATAGAAATAAGCAAGTATTTTTTAAAAGGAGCGTTTTCTGGCGTTCGAGAGGGCGTGGCCTCAAAATTTTTTCGGTCACACCCATTTCAGCACCTCCACTTTTAGAGTGGTGCGCGGTCCCTGACCATAACTACAGAATCAACACAAAATTAAACTGATGCTCTCTGCAGGCTAGTTAAAGTGTCCTTAATAGTATGACGAGTGTATCTAGACACATTATTCTTATTTGTAGCTTTTTTCAAAACAACATCACATAATCCCAACATCTATGGGCTCGCTCTGCTTCTAAAGCTTCAACTGCCCTTACTGCACACGTATCGAATACAACAAGATCTCACTTCTTTCGCACCGATTTATATGCTACATTGCTTCTAGCATTAATGGGTGGGCAGTCATTTGCTGAAATGTGAAATCCTTGGGGAAATGTTTAGATAATAAAAAACTCTAGAAGTAGGTATACTTCTAAACAATATTTGAAAAAGAAAAAATATAAAAAACACAATAAAGCTTACCATTATCATTTTCTATGTTTTTCGAATTTCTAATATCTGCTTGATTGGCTGCAGGCCTCTGCAACAAGAGAATCGCCTATCACATTAAGGCAGTTTATAGCATCACTTTGTACGCAAACTGCAAGGCCTACACTACGAAGTTTAACGTGGGATGGGGTGCGAAGGCTAACGAAAGTGGGGGTCAAGCTTCTTTCACCTTTTATTGCGGCTTTGAAATAATTTGCTTCGCAAAAAAGTGGGGAGGTCATGACCAGCCCCCCACCCCCGGTGACGTTTGCCCTGAACTACTTGGTGCAAAAGAGCTTTATTAATGTCATTGTATATTCTATCAGTTTGTTGTCAGCAGATTTCATTCAAAGCAACAAATTACAATTTGATCATGATTTGCTCTACAGGCCAATTTTTTACTGGTCTTTACAGTTTAACAACTATAGCAACTATCAATACATTATTTTGTCACATGAAAGCCTATAGGCTATGCTTAACGACATATACAGATAAAGAAGTCTTATTACTATCGTTTAAAAGCTAGTTAACAGATGGATATGGAATCTATGCAAAGGAAAACAACAAGTTTACTAGATGTTTTTTAAAATACCATTAAAATGATATCAAAAACCGATTATTCTACAAACCTCCTCAACGGAATCTCCTCTGTTTTCAAACGTTTTATTTGTCCTTTGACGCTGTCTTGACGTCATTTCTCCCTTGTGTTCCTCTCTGTCATCAGCTGACCTGTCACTATCTGATGTGAATCCCCTGCTTCGTGTTTCTCGAGAAACAAGTTCCAAGTTTCCTTTCGAACCATTTGAAAATGAATCCAGACTTCTTTTCGAATTAGCAGAGCTTTGTTTTTCTTTCCTCAGCATGTTCACAAGAATATCTGTTTGATTAGTTAAGTTACAAAGTTGGGACTCGCGAGTGGAAGTCGGGAACAGAGGCAAAATGAACTGGCGATTGAAAGGATCAAAGACTGCGAGGCAGGGACAAGACTTTCACCCAAAACACACCTTGTGTTCATTGGGATTGAACAGCAAATTTGAAGTCTTTATGTAAGTATTTACCAATGTTTTGGTAAACCGATTTTAGAGCGAACACCTCTGCTTGGTACCGAATTACAGTTCATTACAAAGCTTCTCTAAGGGAAGAAATTATAGGGTGAGTTGACCTATGAGATAGATTCTCAAAATACAAAAATATACATACTATTATGTGTCGATGTGAAAAGGATACTTATCTCATTGTCTCTTTGTAGTATCAACTCTTTAAGTTTCTTAACTTCGCTTACGTTGGAAAGATAGTTACTTTCTGATCGATCGGGTACAGGACTCTCATCCCTGAAATTATAGATAAACACATACCTCATCTCTGTGGAAAATCCTTCAGCATAAAATTTCTATAATCCAAAGTTATTTTAAATGTCTTGTCATTTGCTGTGATTGTGATTAAAAATAAATAACGAAAAATGGAAAGTATAAGAATATGTTGCTTGATAATCTTTAGATGGGTGTAGGATGTTTTATAAAAGTGTGTTTTCCAAAGATCAGAAACCTCTCTTAATAGAAAGATTTCTTAATTGGTTCAAAACACCATCTATACGGATAAGTTTCTTTGGTGCTTCAAAGGTTTATATAGGCCGATTTCAAACTTCGCTAATTAACATTCTATGCTCCCATACTTTAGCGAAGTTAATTGAGAATACGTAACTAGCACTCGTGGTTCTTATAGAAATCTATCAAATTAAATCTAACTGGTTTCTCGTTTTCTTACTGAAATTGGAGCAGTTTAAATTGTTATTCAGATTTCAGATGCGACTAACGCTCAACTTCCGCTACAAAATATACATACCTTGTTTCCCTGTTTATAGACTGTTTAGCTTCGACTGATTTTTCGCGATAGAAACCCTGGGAAAGTGTGAAAGTTAATACAACATTGCATAATTCACATACTGTATATATATAAAAACCCTAGAAATGTATGCAAATGAGTCCAAAATATAAATACAAAAAGAAATTTTCTCTACGAAAAAACTTTCGGATATATTAGGTAAAAATACAGAAAGATGACAAAATTATTGGACATACCTTGAGTAAGTAAAAACAATGATTAATTTTGCGCATGTCCGCGCCTACAGATAAGACGGCTTCTGGATCATTGTCTTCCAGGAAAACCCGCACAGTTTCCAACAAACTAAAAAAGATTAACGATAAAGTTACGAATAACTTAGCTAGTGACTGGAATGAATATGGAATGCAAAATGAGCACGAGTGCATAGATCTTATTCAAAAAAATGAAAAAAGTACCGCCAAAAGATTGTTGAAAAATTATATATTTTAAACTTACAAATAAAGGTAGCTTATTGCAACTTACCCTATTAGTAGTGAGATTTGTAAATGTATTTTCAGTTTAAATAGAAAAGTGATGTTTCTATTGTAATTTTATATTTTTTAAAGGCACTATGTTCCGATGATTTCGCTGGCCATTTATATTTTCCATTGGTTGCACTAAACAATAGACCAATTGTTATGTATCTCATTCTCACTGTTTTCTCGATCATAAACGCGCTGCAAAGCCTGCCGTTAAGTAGAAAAGAAAGTTCAATACACTGACCTCTTTCTATCTTCTTCAGTCAACTCGCCATCATATTCAACTCCCGTTGACATTGCCAGTTCGTCTTTTAGTTGCTGTATTTCCCGCTTCAATCGCTCTATTACCTTGAGTTTAAATACAAAAAAGATGGTACGGAAGTTTTCTCATTATTTGTTAACAAAAGCGTAGAAATTCTTTTTAATAACGTAAAGTAAGAGCATGTTGGAGATAGAAACAAATCTTTACCAGTTTTGGATCAAGCTCTTCGTTTAGGATGGCATCATTCTTGATCATCGCCACTCTTTGTGCAAAGCGACAAGTTGATATCGACTCCTGAAAAAAAATATTTGGCTTTTAATTCTAATGGCTATTATAATATTTAGGTATAACAACTGAAACTTTTCATAATTTTCGTTTTGTACTTCCAATTAAAACTTAAAATTAGTAACAGTAAGAGATAGATGTCCAATGTAATTATGAATATGGGCCTAATTAATAAGAAAAAGATGTCTAATGTGATTATTGTTATAAGGCTATAAAAGCTTTTGTATCAGGAAAAGAAAATCATTAGTTATAAACTTACCTTTTAACGGGATTTTTTAGGCCCATATCCAGAACGTGGATATCGTGAGGTGGCCTACAAGCTATCTTTCTTTCACAAATGATGGTTTGGAACTAAACTTGTTCAAACTATATAATAATTTTTTATAACTATACTTTCTAAGTCATAGAGCTTATTTCGTCTCCTCTACTGGCAATAACAAAATTTAGACTTCATTGTATCTGTATGTTTTCTTATATGGTTCTAAAACAACGATACTACGGATAACTCGTAATATCAAGGTGTTTCTCAAGAAAACTGGTAGCGTAAATAACAACAACTCACATCTATATTTTTCTTTTCCACTGAACATGTTGCAATCATGGTTGTCATGCAATTTCCACCCAAACTTAAAGCAATAAAAACAAAAATTAGAACAAGAAAGTTTAGGATAGTAGAAGTAGCAATGGCAACAACAATGTTTTGAAAGTAACCATAAGTAACCATGAGCAACTTAGAACAGTAACTCAAAGTAACCGTGATCAAGTTTAAAGGCACATAAAAAGCCCGTAGTTGCCAAAAAAACTTTTCCCAATTAGAAGGTTCAGGTAGAAGGTGACGAAAGGCCAAAGCATAGAGCAACAAATATTCTCAAGGAAGATGGCCATAAAAGAGTGTCTAATTTAATATTGTTTCTAAATTAAATCTGACTCTACAAAACGGGGTATAATGAATCTGTCTGCATTGGTTATGATCAACTTGCCAATGGATTCAGAGGTATGATGATTCTGTGTCAGATGAACTGCTCTAACTACTTAGACTGTGTGCTATTTCTGCAAAGTAAACAACCACGGACATCACGAAGAACGCATAGTCTCGACCATAACTAATGCTCTTTTACTAATCAATCAACATTGAAGGAAACAAAACAAATTAGACGTAATTTCATGGATATCACTTTCTGCAGTGCATCAGTACCAGACAAAGATGCCAACTATAACAAAACGATTTCTGAAGGAAAATTAAAACATGGAAAACGTTATGACGCTGCGGATTTGCTAACGACATACCTGTCACGTAGCACTGACGTCATCATACTGTTTCTGTATGGAATGTGGGACCGAGACTTCTCTGACAAAGCGATGATAACCTAATGAGATATTTAAAGTATGAAAGTTCATAGTTCTACTATCATACACGGTAGTTTGCGTGAGACAATATGGTAAAATTCTATTCAAAGTCACTTTTCAGAAAATTTGAGTTGTTGATACTATAACGACTCACTTAGTGTAAACAATAAACAATGCATATGTATTATTTTTATGACCAAAAATTCGAATAATGAATATCTAAGTTGCAAGTCACGACACAAAAAATTCGAAAAGGGACTGCCTTGATATTTTAGTAATTCAATTTGATCATCAATCAAAATAAATTTGTGATGTAAAACTCAAACATCGTGCATAACTAGATCACATTTCAAATTTTGTTTCTTAACCAGTGTTTTTACAAAACGGGCCTAGAAAAAATACAAAAAAACCAATACTGACTTGTTCCAAATAATGAAGAGAGAGATTGATGTACTTTGCCTCACTTAAAAGTGTGCCAACAACGCCAGTCTTGCTAACCCTCTCTGATCTGGGACAAAAAGCCAAGACAGTTTTAACAAAGGACCAGAATACAATACTAAGGGCTAGCATCTTTACTCTAACCCAGAAATCATCAAGGCAGCGAACTTGAACACTAAAATTAGAGCTAGTCCGGTACTGATATCCTTTTTTTGTATAAAAAATATATCATTATTATTTTAGATCGATTAAGCTTAAAGGAAATGCTTTAAAATCACACAAGAAAATACCATTGAATTTTCTGAAGAAGTATATCCGGCAAAGACATGTTCTTACCCTGCAAGATCTACAAGATGGAGTTTTGCTCGTCGAATGGTGGCAGTTGCGGGATCTTTCATTGTTATGTGAATGGTAAAGATACAATGAGATCTAGTGGATGCTTGATTCATTGGTGTCTAGAGAGAATATCATCGGGTCAACATTTTTTCCGTTAGCATACATAATCGTGGCAAAGCTTTTGTCATAACAAAAAATACAAGCTGACTGACATCGCGAGAAGCACTCGCAGAGGATTTATTCCAGTATAATTGGTTGGTATACTTATATTTTGTTGTAAAAACACTCCTATTTAGTTCCACTAATTTTGCAGCGGCCAAGAATCTTTCATGCTTTTTTTCCCATTAAAGTGATCATTGACAATAATTTTATAGGGTGCTACAAGAATAACGGAAAAACTATAAAGTTCTTTTGGACTAAGAAATCATTAGAAATTTACATACGAATTTTCTTATGCTAATCAAATGCGGTCATAAGATTCTTATGCTAATCAAAATGTAACCTCATTACATTTCTAGACTGACAAATTTTCGAAACGTCTTACCTCTGCTATCATCCTGTTGGTATCACCCAAAAATAGGAGATTCAGGGCTAAAAGACAAAACATCACCAATAAAAGGAGCACAGCTCTGAAAAAATATCCAAGATAGCTCCGACCTATTTCAAATGTTGATGTACGGCCAAATAACGATGTTCAGAAGTGTCAGGGAACAACATGTACCATTTGCAAAAGTTGATTCTTCAAAAGTTTTAAAAATCACCTCAAAAAACGAACTCGGAGAAACCCGAAACTTAAATCTACTCGAATAGAAATAATTTCATGCTTAAGTGTTAACTGTTTCATTAAAATCAGACGCCAATTTTCATAAATCAAGAAAAGCAAAAGGTAATAATAAAATGACTTTGATGCAAATAATTCTTAATGCAAAGGGTTCAGCCAAATTATCAGATGCTTTGTATCAGCCTTGTTCATTTAAAGCAAGGTACGCTTAAAAATTGCTTTCGAATTATTCCTATTGGAAGTGGAGAAACGGAACAGAGGTTTTCTAAAAAGATCATCATTAGGACCCTGCATGTTAACAATCTGTCAAAATTGATGTTAATTGAAATCTTTGACCCAGAAAAGTACCATTGGGAATCAAGGGATTTCAACTTGGAGCAAATACATGCTCAACATATGGAACTGAGATCAAGAGCCTTGAAATAGGATTGAAATTACCCCCTATGATACAAACAGGTAGTAGGCTATATCAGGCTATAGATTATTCCCACCTGTCACGTGAATAGCTTATTGCCGCAATGATGGATCACAACCTAGTCTTGGATACACATAGCAACGCGATATTTATACCATACGGATTTGGAAACGGGCAGTTATCTTCGCCGATTTCGAAACAGGATACATTGAAAAACGTTTGCATATGCATCTAGCCAACTTGTTTACTGTGTCTTCTTATCTTCGGAATTTTTTAATCTATAATACCTCTATTTCACTTGCACAACTTCAGATAACATAGCATGTACCGTTTGCATCTTTTCAGAGGAGGACACAGCTTTCCCCTTCTACCCTCACCAGGCAAAAGAGTAACATAACAACAACCCCCTTGCCTGTGTGTGGTCTAAACGTATTTTGTTACAAAGAAATGTCTCAGCATTTACAGCAAACCAAGCAATTGTAACCAAATACCAACTGATGACTTAGGTCATCTTCTAAAGACTTGCACCACTGACAAACTATACCTGGAGATGATGTTTATGGCTCTTCTTTCAAAAAATGAACCCGGAAAATAGATATTTCGTTGTCAACATATATTTCAAACTACATCTTCTATAACCATAAACTTTGAACGTTATTTACATTTTCGGATATGCTCTCATTAGCGGTATTCATAGATAGGAACAAAGCTAGAAACAACGCAATCCTTTGAGCTGGCAAAAGTTATAATCATCAGCAAAAGAGAAATGGTAAGAATTTTCACGTACCGTCTTCTTCGTTGTGAGCTGGATGCACTGAAAGATTTCGTAGATGTATATTCCCATCGCTGTCTTCTAATAGATTCACTTTTCTGCAATTTTGAAAAAACTACGACATATACCTAAAGTTTCTTACTATCTAATGCTTGCTTATTTACATATGCCTGATTTATATTAAGTTCGGATACATTTCAATCCAAGGAAACTTCAAAACGGTACTTTGAAGGTATTGGTCATAAGTATATGACTGGAAATCAATACCTAAAATCGCAAAACACAGATTAACAATAACTCGCGGGAATAAACATAAAGAAAACGTTATATCGCTTTTCACCCCCTTCGCTCCAAAAAATTTTCAAATCCTTTGCTTTGTTATAACTTTGATTTTTCCTTGTCTCTGTAAACGGTACCATGTTGATTCAGGCCAGTTGTTAGCGTGCTCAAGGGGTTTTCCAAGTCCCATTGGCCGACAAAATGGGTGAGCCATCCTTTATTTGCCGATTAATTTGGAAATCTGCCGACTAAGCACCATTAGATGGCAAAAAACTCCTTGTCTTTGCAATGGAACTTTTTTTCAAAGGGGGTGTTACACCCTAGCGACGGGTCTGTGTTGATTAGAAATATCAACTTTTAATTACAATTTGCTTTTCAAACTATTCTTTTATTTGAGCATTAATATCAATGTTTTAGAAACTTTTTTGCAAAATTCAACTTGCTGGCACTCTTTTGAGTGAAGCAAAATACATCAATCTCTCGCTTTTTTACAACAAGTCAGTATTTTTGTATGTATGGTCTAGCCCCGTTTTGAGTGGGACACTTGTAAAGTAACGAACATATCAAAGTAATGCTCAATGCCCGAAAATACCGAGTGGGGGAATTAATTGAAGAGGTCGCTTTTTTCGAGAGACTCTGGGCGCTGAGACTAGATCATTGTAAGTGAAAAGGCCATTTTGAAAGGAGAGTGGATACGTTGAATAGTTAGCGTTAACTGTAATAATTCACAATTGACAATATTCGATGGAAGACTTGAACAAATTGCAGATTGCTTGACGTGACGCGATTGAGGAAGTTATTGCTAAATACACCAACAGTTATTACATTGAAAAATTGCATCACTGCAAATGCGTAAAACGATAAGGAAAATTAGTTTTAATTTGATAAATTTGACACTTACGGTAAATCCTCCAGCTTTGCCGCTTCGTGTCTCGGATCCAACAAATCGTATCCGCTTTCATTGTATATTTCCAGGTATGAAATGTGTGTACTATATTCAAGACTCGAATTCTACAAAGGAGAAATTCATGCTAAATTCAATCTATCGAGCTGTTGATAGTTACTATTGCTACAAACTCTCTTGAGCAAAAATATGTACTATATAGAGAAAGAGACCAATGGAAGAGAAGCGGGGAGTGCCCCTCAATCTATAAATCGAGAACCTGACAGACCAATGCGAATCTTTGATCGGCAAAAATTATTTATAAGTACTGATTATAAAAATAATAGCAAAAACTTTTCGATGGAATAACTCACGGTTTCATAGTAATTGAAGATGTAGGATAAACTTCTCGGTATGATTCCTCGGTCTGCGAATCTCTCTGCACCCCCTGTAATCGTGAATGTTTTACCAGAACCAGTCTAAGAAAAACGAGAGAAAGAATGCAGTAACATGATTCCACATGCAGTACTGAAATTTTGCATTACAAAAGGTAAACAAAGATAAAAAACGGTGAATGCATGTTCAAAATTAAATACAGCAATTCTATGTAATAATTAGTGCTTACAGGCTGATTATTCTGTTAAAAAGGAAATTATATTGACATCTTAAAGGATGCAGCCAAAACAAAATTGCTATAAGACATGTGAATAAATCACCAAAATGCTAGCTTCTAGAAAGATAAAAGGGAATTTTTTAAAGTGGACTTTTTACGATGAGGAATGAATATCGTTTTGAAAAAAGAGGGGTAGAAGAACCTAGCCACGCTCAAATGTAGTGTCCTTTGATGCAGTAAATAAAACTTTGATGTCCTTTGAAGTAAATAAAAAACATCTTAAGCATGAAATTCGAAAATAATAAGTTAGAACACTGTTCATGTTTTGGTAAAGCCATTTCTTCTGTCTTTTCCTTCTGGATACACTGTTTCAGATACTTGATGATAAAACTAAGAATAATATGCTAACATCAAACTACTCTAAGACAGTAATCAAATGTAAACATATCTACATACTAAATACAGTGATAAATGACTTGCTTTAACCTCTGACAATCAAGCAGCACTTGCTGGCCAATTCTCAAGAAAACTAAAGAGCAATTGTCTTATTTGTGGATGCTTAGTAAAACATACAAGATGTATTAATCTCACAGTGCTACGAAAATAATATATTAATCATAGGGAGGGGACAGCAGATTGGTAGAGATGATGACTTCTGCAGATTGGTATATAGAGTTTAAAAGGCTTGATATCCTTAGCTTACCTGTCCATATGCAAAAATGGTTCCGTTATATCCAGAGAGAACACTTAAAAATAAAAACACAACATAGCTCAATATCAAAATTTTGTTGAATGAAATTTATGCTCAATGTTATTATAATAGCAGAATAAAGGACTCTAATCACTTTTATCGTAATGGAATTTTGACTGTTGAATGTATTTGGGGGCAAAGATATGATGAGACTTTTATTTCTATCAATTTTTCTTCAACCATACGTCAGCAAAAACAGAAAGTGGAAATTTGATATCTTACTGTAACCGTAACAAGATATCTTACTTTTCAATAACAGGCTTAGATATGGCGTTAAAGATATCCTCTTGTTTTGCATTCTGTTCAAATATATGATTGAACCTAAAAGGCAAAATCAAATATGATGAGCAACATCAAATGGCCCTAAGTAAACAATATCAAAACTTTGTCAGCATGACCACATAGTTCTTACTACACAATATCCCATGATTCGGCTGCACGAAATGAAAAGCAAAAAATAAATTTTATCATGATTACGTGCATATTTATTGACATAAACATACCCACTTTTACATTATGCTTACTCTCTTAAAGCAATGTTATTCAAAAGTATTTGAAAAAGAACATTGATATGTTAGCATCAAGATATAGCAAAGCATTGATATAAACAGGACAGAAAATTTAAAAAATGGCAATAACAAAAAAGGAAGAAAAAGAAAATGATAAACTGAAAGACTCAACTGAAGATAAACTCATAGGGGATAAATAAAATGATCTCAAAAGGTCTACCTGAACTTGTATGCTTCTTTTTTGTTATTGATTAGGCCACTGGCCAAGTCTCTGGGAACACGAAATGTTACTATTGAACTTTCACCAACATCGTCATCAACTTCAAAAAGCTGTATAAAACCAAAAAATAAAGTGATTTAAACTCTAGAAGAGGCTTTATGATGAAGCAGTTTACAACAATAACTAATGTTTTTTTAATATCACCTGACCAGACCATAGATTTTTTGCAGGCATGCAATATATTTACAGGACACAAATCTGCCCACATTTGTATTTTAGCTTGGCAAAATCCATCAGATTTGACATGTTGTTGAAATTCACCAGCCCAGAATCGGTTTTAAGGGGGGTCCAAGGGAGCCATGGCCCCATGAACAATGCTTATATGTTAGCCAAAAGGGGCCCACACCTAAGAAAAAAGGTATGAATTGTAAAGAACAAGGGTCCCACATGTATCTTTGGCCCTGGGGCCTACAGTCCCTAAAAATACCAATATTTTCTTGTCTGCACAAGAAAGAGGGTTTCCTGTCAACAAGAAACAAGGTCATCCAACACATTTATAATGTCCCAGACAGGAAATTTTGTCATTAATATTGTTATATTGTATGGTGGTGTTTGACCAAATAGATAGACCATAGCATGATTATTCAAATTCTGCAATGATTATTCACATGATTATTCAAATAGATAAACCATAACATGATTATGCAAATTCTGCTTCAAAAATTTAACTCAAGCTTCAGTATTGTAATATGTATTGCATCCTCAATTCAGCAAAATATACTTTTTTGATGAAATTATTGAAAGTACATGCTAGAAATAAAAGTAAAATACTTTGGTCTTGCCCCTTCCAATTGTAGCATAAAACCAGGTGTTACAAAGTTTTACAAATAGGCAAACGATTAAAAATTGTTGCATGCAAAACTTTCTTCCAAACAAATTGATCAAACTTGTTAACAGCCAGACTGCAGGGTATGGCAGTTTCCAACAAGATGTCAAGTGTGCAAGAACAAAATTTAAAGTGTGCACTTTAGTTGTGTACATTAGTTGTGTACTAGAGCCCAAAGATAATCCATTAAGAAGCGAAAATGAACTATAAGATAAGAAAATATACATGATTGATGATTATTCTGTTATCGAACCATTGCAAGATATTAATGATCTTGAGGAACCTAATTCTTCATTAGCCCTAAGGAATAGGACACAACCAGTGGCGTAGCATCTATGTATGCTACGCTTGCGGCGCAAGCGTAAAAATTTATGGCAAATTCTAAAATTCTTGCAACACTTTCAATGCATAACAATTTCCGCAATAAACGGCTTCTCTTTCTTGTCATGAGCAGCATGCGGTGAACTTTAGCGCCAACAGGCCAATTGGCCCCAATGGGCTATTTTCCCAAGTAAACAGATCGCTAAAAATTATGAAATTCGAAAAATCTGAAAAACTGAAGCCCCTCCACATCACTCTTTTTGCCTGTCTAAAATAAGAGAAACATGTGATGCTCCAGTGCAGCTTCAGTGCAACTGGAGAGAAGCTTCTGAGAGAAGTGAGAATTTTCCGGACTGGAGCTTGCGGTCGGCCTGAGCGCAAGCCTTCCCAAATATTTGATAATCCACAACATTTTTCTACCTATAAGCTGCTTTTTGCGAATATTCTTTGCGTGATACATCATTTCAAATCCAATTATTTCTCTTTCTATACTTTGTGACTGTTGAAAAGAGAAAAGGTTTCGTCAAAGTGGGGTCAGAGTCTATTTGTCATGATCCACATTCCGTAATTCAAGTCAAAAGGCTTGCCAGTATAGTCAGAATTTACGGACCAGGGCATGCGGTAGACCTGAGCGCAAGCCTTGCCAAATACATGATGATTTGCAGGGACTAACTTTCTGAAACTTTACACATGGAAGCATCTTCAATTCTAACAACTCTCACAGCTCACTATTTTCATCTTCGTTAACTATGAGAGTAAAAAATGGGCAGAAACTGTTGCTCCTGTTCGCTTAGGCGCTGAAGTGTGTTAACAATTTCGCAATGTGGAGAGCTCCTCCTTGCGGGAATCCCCAGCTTCGTTATAGCATAAAAAATTCTTACATTAGGTGGGCATTAGGTGATGCCTTTTCTTGAGGAATATGAATAAGAATAAAATCTTTTGCGAAGCAGTTTTAGCACTAGGAGTTATTCTGAAAATTCTTGCTAAACAATTGAGTTTTTTTAAAAAAACTTTCGCATGGGTGATAATTTTTCCCTTGGCCCCCCTTCACTTTCCGACCTGTGTCGGAGCCTCTGATGCAAAGAATAGACACCTTGATTGATTAGAATTAGAGTACAAATGATTTGTTACTTTCAAAATCAAAATTTATTATCACGATTATCATTAATTACCGCTTGTATTTTTAAGAAGCTGAAAATACGATTACATTCATTCAACATAGCCGTATATTTTATGTTACCGCATGCCTAAGTTCTGCGCTCACGCTACGCCACTGGACACAACCATGTTACGCCCAGATCCCCAAATGCCATACCCTGTATCAGGTGTGCAGGAACATTTAAGAAAAAAATATCTCGAGTGTGCACTGCCATACTCTGCAGTCAGGGCCGTCGAGAGGCAGCTTGGGCCCAGGGGTGATTCACAAAACTGGAACCCCTTCAGAGAATATCATGTTGCCACGCCCTTCAGTCTCCCGGAGAACAAGGAAAACACCCTTTTTAGGTACAATTGTTGAAAAAATTTTAAAAGATTTTTACAAGAATGTGCAAAAACATTTTACATGAATCAAGGACATGTGGGCATTTATCTGTGATAAATTAACAGACGTCGATTCAGCATGAATAGCTGAAATAGTAGCTCTTTGCATTGTAAATAGATCTTGCTACTTTATTACGGGCCCCATCGGAGCACGGGCCCCAGACCTTTTGCCCCTCCAAACCCCTACTCTCGACGGCGCTGTCTGCAGTTACTGGGTTAGCAGCTGTTCTGTTGCTTGGGACACCAAATTAAAAACATTAATGATCCATGTGCATGCAAGACACTTAGACTGGCACTCATTGCTACACGACATGTAGAATGGAGTAAAGTTATTTCTTCGAAATTTGATGATGGGAAACACAGTGATTTGATGATGTTTGTTTGTTCGACCATCTTCAAAAATGAACTCATTAGATACCAAAAGTGTGATACCTGATTGGCAGTATTTTGAGTTGGCTTCAGCCTGCAGTATATTTGGATGGTTTGTTTCACCATATTCCTTTCTGAAACTTGTTGCTCCTCAGTTTTTTCTTTCAGCGGCATCCATGTTGAAATTTAGTAAACAGAGCAACCAATGCAAATACGAGGCTAACTGGCCTCGATTCGATAAAATACCAGACAAAGTTTTTTTCAGTTTTATAAACAAACTGCAGAGATGTGAAAACGAAAGAAAGTAGGTGATCATTGGACGCATACAAATATGGATGATGCGGAGGAAATGCCAACGATAAATTTTCCACAAGTTCCAGAAATGGACTCATCGAATGATTATGTATGTTCTTCTGTTGTCTTGACGATTCTCGCCTCGACTGATCGCAAATTAATTAAGGATCATGTGAAAAATTGTTAGATATGTCCTGTTAGCATTGGAATCCACCCTTTTCAGGTCCCATTTCATGTATCTAAGTAATTTTCTGTAGAGTATAATTACTGGTGGTAGAGGGTTGTTCTTTGCAATTCACCGCCTCATTTCCTCTGACCCTAATGTTTTGATACTAATAATGGGAACTCTTTTTTCAAAATCATCTCATACTTCTATAGGAATGGAATTATTCAATGAGGAGAGAAATGCAGGTTAGCATGTATTTTCCAATACCTTCTGCCATTTAATTGGCAGATTATGTTCTTCATATATGTGCTATATAATTTCATATTTCAGATTTAATTTATTTTGTACCTTAAAATCTTTTTATTTTGTATAACCTTCGGAATTTATTTTACAGGAGATTTTACCTGGAATTTTTCTTGGATCTTATGCAGCGGCAACAAAAAAGATGGTAACAATCATAATGTTTCATGTTTGTATCTAATTATAGGAGTTTGATATACAATCTATTTTATAGTTAGATTGTACATCAATTTCCTTGCAGCGCAGACTGGAAACTTTGTCGCACGCCTGTGATATATTGCCAGCACACTCAAATATTCTATCCACGCACTTTTGCAGATTGGTCGTGCAAAGTCCCTATTTGGATACATTTCACATTATTAACAATGCAAATTTCTTAAAAGTGTGTGATTTCGGGCAAGCAGTCGCACAGTCAAGTGCATGAACTTGCCCACACAAGAAACAAAGTTTCCAGTCTGGTTTGCAGCTTTGTGCAACCCCTGTGTTCACATAGGGTATAGGGTGTCAGCCCTGGAAGTTTGCAGCCTTGAGAAAACAAGCCTTTATTATGGTGATCAACAGGTTGCAGAAACAAAAGATGAAGGTTCCTTTGTCATCATTTTCTAGTTGTTAAAATGATGCATGATTCAAAGGGACAATGAAAACTGGTGCTATTTTGTTACTATGTTTTGAAGATACATTAGTTGAAATTTGAAAATTACCAATCAAAACCAAATACAGAAAAAAAATATCAGATTCTTTCATTACCATCATTGGAGTTTGCCAAAAAGCCACAATAAAGAAAAGTGCATTTCTGAAACATTTCCGGAGCTGTTTGTAGGCATCAAAATCATTGATGGACCAGGATTCTAATCCCAAACACATATTTAAATTAAATTTGGGATTTAAAATGACATGAACTGAAATGAGTTGATGTCAGCTTATATATGCAGTCATGGGGTTCTTTGTACTGCTTTGGGTAATTCAAGTAGTCAAAATATCCTGGTTGGATAAGTGATGGTGTGCTGCCAGAGATAACTTTTGCCAGAGATAACTAATTCTAAGAGTCAAAGTGAAAATAAAAAAAGATAAAAAATTGCTTTTGATACACACTCTAGGTATTGACTAACAGTGTTACCAAAATTTCCACTAAAGGAAAATTAGGGGGAGGCAAGGGCTCCTCTCTGCTTTTTATCCTCTGCATTACTACATTCCAGTTTAGATTTATCTTTTGAATTTTTGCCAATAATTCACCAAAAGCCAATAAGTTTTTCTTGTATTATAGCTGAGCTATCTTGAAGGTAATGGTATTACACACATTGTCTGTGTCAGACATCCTATGGAGGCAAAGGCTATCAAAGCAAATTTTCCACAAATAATACAGTTAGTATGAGTAAACCACAATTTTTTTGCAGCAATATATGAAAGCAATTTATGGCATAAAATGTATTACCAAAAAATATTCACTATAACAATGATTTCTTTGATCACAAACCACAACTGTTAATTATTTTATGTTGCAAAGCAAGATACAAAAAGATAGGAAATGCATCATGATTCTAGTGAGCTCACATTCATGATTTCATGGGTTTTGCAATTTAATAGCTTTTGCTTAGAATGGGACTTTAATTTTTTCTGACATAGTTAACAAGTTTATTGCATGGGAAGAAAAGTGAAACAGATTAATCTTAATGTTTCTACAAATAATCTAAGATGGGATTTTTAGCATAGATCATTTCTTTCCTGATTTTTTTAACTGCTGTAAATAATGAATATTGGTTTTGCAGGTACATGGTAATAGACTTAGATGAAAATATTGGAGAATCATTAATCCCATATTTTCCAATGGTATGTTTCAAAAGTTTATTCTTTGATACAAACTGCTTTATTTCATCCTCAGCGTCATCAAATATTCTTATTTTTGCAACTTTCAAAAGAACTGTCAAAATCCTGGCTATTAGGAAGTGAATCAATATTTGGGCTGAGAAATCCAATGAATATTTTCATAATCTGTTTAATCTGAAGAAAGCTGGGGAAAAATAGTCATAGATTGTCTACACTCATGACTTCAAGTTCCTTGTAAAAGGGAGGTGGTTTTAAGAATTCATTTTATAAATACTAATTGTTTGTCTTTGAGTTAACTTAATGAAAAACAGCTTTGACTACCAGGTGAAAGGATTCATTGACAATTGCTTAAACAACCAAGGTTAGTCCATAACCTGTTTCTGTTTACTTTAGTAATAAGTCTTTGTTTTAATTCAATGAAGGCCTAGTATTCTTGCACATCATCTAATGCACAACTATAAGTGATGAAAGTTATATATGAGCAAGAAAAGAAGCAAGTGACCCAATGTATATAATTTTTAGCATTACAAGAGTCCTGGAAACAAGAAACGGCAATTTTTGTTTGAATAAATTGTTAAAACTGACTTTGAGGCTGACTTTGATATGTCTCCACATCAATTCTGCCAATAATTTGTATATCAATAAAGTTTTCCAAGCAATGATATGAAATTATATTTGCTGTACTAGTTTTCTCCAACTATTTACTTGGTGTTTTACTTTGTTTAAAGGTCATGTCTTGGTTCATGATACAGCTGGAATTTCATTGAGGTTGAAATGAATTCTGTTCTTTTAGAAAATAATACAAAAAGAATGTCAGTAACTTTAAATGGCATGGTGTTGGGAATTCACAGAGCTTTCTCTAAACATTTTCATTGATGCCTATCCCAGGAATTGACAGTTCCTTCTGAATGCTTGTCCTATCAAATATGTATGCTAAAAAAGTAATGTTTCATACAATACCCCCATAAGTTTTATTGGTCATTGACTGGTATTGAGCCTATCTTGTTCATCTGAGGAACTTTAGATAAAAAATTAAATGATTTAGTTTGTATAAACCTCTTGTAAGGCAGACTTCTGTAGGAAGGCATTAGAGCTCTTAAGAGTGAGTTGGCTAAACTGAACAATGAATCAATATGGTTGATAATTGTTAGTACCTGTCATCCACAACCACCCTGGGGCAACAGCTGCGGCACAATTCCACAGATTTTCTACCATTATTTAGAACAATATCTCTAATAGGACCCCCACCCATAGACCCAGGGGCAGAAATTATTATTGCTACTAAGGGGCAGTTGCTTCACGGGTCAAATGTTATGGCATCAAAACAATTAGAGAACAGACTGCTCAAAGAAGAAACTCGGCAAATTCACTGTATGCACCCCTACTTTTCAAGGCTAATTTCTGCCACTTTTTAGACACTATTTAAGACTTACAGTATTATATAAATAGTACTAAATGACCTTTTCTCCTCTTTTTAGTGCAACTCTGGTTATTGCATATCTAATGGAAACATATGGTATAGAATACAACCAAGCATATAAATTAGTACAGCAGAAAAGATTATGTGCACATCCAAGTATGCTTTACAAACAACAATTACTGGTAAGTCTCTAAGAACTCTGCACCAGTTTATTCTTGGATTTTATCCAATCAGCATTGATGCAGAATCTGAAATCTGCAAACAAACTTTCAAAAATTTTGAAATATATTTCTGTGACACAGGATCCCCTCCTTGCAAGTTGGTTGTGCAAAAGATAATATAGCCTTACTTTTTTATAATTGATAATAGAGGCTAGATGCACATTTGAAAATCCCTTTCTTCTTTCAAATAAAGTTTTTCTTTGCATTGATCATTTTAAATTTGCAAGTTAAGCAAAAAAGGTTGTGGGGTTATAAGGCATTTCCCAAACACTTGTATTTATTGTTCATTAGCCTAAATGCACAGGGCTCTGTTTTTTATTATTTCAAGGGACAGAAGCACATCCTCCCCCTTTGCATCCTCTTGTTTGCCACAATGTGAAGCTGGATTTATTTTGGTAATGTTTTTGTACTTTGCTTGTTCCGAATTATGAAGCCAAATTATATTTTTGTTCAGGATTATGAAGCTATTTACAAAGCCAAACGTCAAGTAGTTGTAAATACAGATCAAGGTTTGTTGGTTTTGTCTATTGTTTGTTAGGCTGACTAGGAAATCACACAGATAATCTGAATAATTTGAAGTGCATGAATAATTAGAACTGAGCATTTTTAAAACAACTTTGGAGAAATCATGAAAGAGTCACATAGACATCATGACTGTAAAGTATTTGAAAAGCTTTGTTATATTTTTTCAACAGGTGCAAAAAGATTAAGGGTTGATGTAGATGAAGAAATGAGTGTTGACTTCCCAAATAAATCGACAAAGTTAAAGTAGGTAAGAAGCTTTAAATCAAAGAATAACTGCTTTCAAATAAAATTGCAAAATGATTTCTGTGTATTGCTTGCAACAGTTCAACATTCTTTCCCTTGATACTTGCAACAACTGGTAGCATACAAGTAAGCCCAATAAGAGCAACTCCTTATTGTTAAAGAAATGAAGTAATTGAAGGAATTTCATTGCAATAAAATTTCATTTCAGATCTAATATTAACAGAAAAATTGATTTTTTAAATAAGAAATTGATTGTATGTTTAAAATTTTCTGGTATATCAAGTAACATTGGTCCTTCTAAAAGGAAGTAAGAAATTGAGAATTACTTATATAAGAAACAAAAAGACTGGATACTTGCAGTGTTATTTAAGCTTACAATGGTGTTTCAAATTCATTAAACACAATGATTAGACAAAAACTTAAACTCTGTTTGAAAAATTTGCCCAATATTTGCATCACTTAATGTTGATATAGAAGATCATATGTGTGATCTCAATTTAAATATGATGTAATTGAAAAAAGAAATTCACTTTTCCATGAGTGTTTTGAACATAGAATTGCTATCTTAATTATTAAATTAAATACTAGAGAACAATAAAAAGACTAACCCTGGCTCTCTAATTGAATCTATATTTGCAATTTTTTATAGGTGACTGTGAGAACAAATTTGATGTTCAATTTTGTTGGTCTGGAGAACTGCTAGTCTCAAAAATAGGTTTCTGAAGTCTCAGGAGTCATTTTCAATGAACTACATATTTTTTGGCAATGATCCGTTTAGAGATGAAATGTATGATTCTCTTAGAAAGGTTTTGTTCCTTGGTATGTTAAGAAAACACTACTTAAGGTTGCATTAAAATTTCAATGTCTTAAAGGAAAAAGTCTATAGGTCAAAGGAGATTCAATATCCGAAGCATTATTTGGTATCTTAAAAGTGTTTTATATTTCATGTAAATATTCGTTTTAAATGAATTTTCAACTCTCAGAAGAATTCAATTCTTTCTTGTCCTCTTATAAATGTCAAAATTGTTCTTACTAAAAGTCCCATTGAATTACGTGAAAAGTAAGTCCTCATCAGCTTCGTCTGCAAGTAAACTTGGAGCATGTTCAGCTGCCTGGGCTGTAAAAATAGCAAAACATATTTATATTTGGAAGCATTGTACCAAACACACCTTGTCTGTCATTCTGTATCTTATTTCAAATAACATCAAGCTGTATTTGACTTACAGCACAACTTTAGCCTAGTCTAGAAACACCATTTGTTTCTAACATATCAAAGATTCCACCAAAGAAATGTTCCTTTACAAAGCTTTTGGTTTTCATAATGCTTGAATTTGAGCATACTGAAGCAAAATATACCATATTTTCTCTAAGGAACGTTGCAAGGTTTATTACCAAATCCAACTTTTGTATTCAGCATTTAATAGAAGGTGGCATTTATCTGAAGGCATCATTTAATACAAAATAAAAAAGAGTTAAATGAAAAATGACAAGAAAAGTGTGATAAAAATATAAAAATAGAATATATAAAAATAAAAGATTGGAAAAAAAATTTTCCCCCAAAAACATGTATATATCAAAGATTTGGTGAGAATTTTTCAAAGTTCACAAAAAATGCATTCATGTCAGAGTTCTCATCTATGAAATGAAAACCTTCATAGCTTTACAATAGTAAGCTTATAACCTATATATTCTTTATTTCTTGTTTGGTCTGTTTTCTAATCGAGCCGCTTTTCAAAATGTTGTGTTTGAAAGAGGGCGGCATTTATTACATATGGTTGGCATTTATAGATGGTAGAATTTATCAGAAAGCAGGGTTCATTAGAGGAAATACAGTATGTAAATGTCTATACAATCTAACACAAATGGGAACTAAACAATAAAGAAAAACCAGTTATATATTTTCAATGTTAACTACAGCTCTAGAATACGACTAAATATGAAAAGAAATTGAAAAAAGAATTTTCAATACAGACCATCAATCCTCTTTGTTGCATTTCTAGTTCTTTCTTGGCTTTATTTTGTTTCTTTTTCTCCTGAATCTTTTTCAACCTAAAGAATTTACAAATTCATACATCAGAGTTTCTTTTATTCAGAAATTATTGATTCTTACAAACCTAGAAAAAGTATTCACTTTCATGGGAGTTTTCCACTCAAAACCATCAGTCACTTATATCAAGGAAACAAATAGATGAAGATTTAAAAATGCATTTAAGCTTCTTAAATGCTCCTAAAGGAGTTTGAAAAATGGTTCAAATGATGATTTGCCAAAATTACACAAACTTGGAAGATAATGCCAGCCATGGAAAGGCCTTTCGATCGAGTGTGCGGGCCTAGAGCGCACCCAAAAAAGCCTTGGAGAGTGATTTATAGAGCCCCTCGGAACATTTTAACACAGAGTAAAATAATTGTTGGGCCTTTGTTGAATAAACCTGATCAACCATAAAAAATCTTCCCAACAGACCGCAATATTATGATTTGCATAAGATTAACCTTGAGAAAAAATTCAGCAAATTTAATGTTGGGTTTTTGAGGCCATTTTCAATCGAATAACCCTCTAATAACCACCAAGGACAAATGCCATTAAGTATAATCTCCAGCAGATTTATTTGATTTAAGAGTAAACATTTATCTTCTGTTGAAGTATCATTTTCTGTTTTTTCTTAATAGCTCAAAATCACCTATGCAAATCAGCGATCACATCTCTGCCCAAATTGTTGCATTGCTTTTCAGTTTTTATATGCTATTTGCTTTCAGTTTTTTGTGAGCAGTATATATTCTAGCGTGACTTATAGAATAGATAGTATAAAAAAGGAAACAAAGTTCAATTTTTGACTTAAAGCCATGCGTTTTGATTAAGCAATATGTGAAGCTGAAGCTGAACATAACAGTAGTGATACTGACAGTGATAAAAGCTCATCAAATGATGGCAACTTCCATAACTAGAAAAATCTGATCCATTTTCAGACTTTGTTTTCTTATATTTCTATATTTATACTAACATAGTGTTTGTTGCATGTTTTGTTATTTCATATTATGGTGCTTTTTGGTATCACTGTTGAATTTCTTATTTAACACTTTTTCAAAGCTCTCGATATGAAGCTCTCAATCTTCCAAAGCACTCAAAGGATGCTCTCAAGGATATTTTATTTAGAGGTGCAAAATAGAGCGCCTAGAGTTTTTAAGGGGCTCTTTTTATGGAGAACCTTCATTATGCTTAGAGCAGCAAGGCCTGCATGGTTGTATAAAAAAGATTTAAATTATTATGGGCCAGTTTTCTGATAAGTATAATAGTAGAAAAACATTCAAATTCTTATAGGTTTAGAATACCATAAGCTTACCTGTAAAACTCCTCTCGTTCCATCTCATCAAGCTCACTTGAAATATACTGCAGAGTTCTTTCCAATCTTGGAATGATTACTGAAAAAAGTCAAACATGAGTAAAATATGCTGCTAAGCTTTACCTCTATATATATATAACGACTTTTCATTCACCCTTTCCTAATGTGCTTCTTTCATAAAAAAATTAACTTAAAGTGTAAGGTCTTGTGGAGGAAAATACTTTCTATCGAATCAAGATTTGCTTATGATATTTAATGAGAATAACCTCGCAGAATGTTCATGATTAGGAACTTGTGATTAAACTTTCAGTGGCCAATGGCCCTTTGAAAAACAGGGTAGTTTATTATTGTTCCTAAAACTTCTTAAAGGAAAGGCCAGTTTTTTCTATCATTTTTTTCAATAATAAGTTAAAACTGTAAATTGAAAACAAAATTTGCATGGTTGCCTACCATGTTCAATAGCATTGACTCTTCTGTTTGTGATTTTGATGGCCTCATCAAGAGTAATGAATGATGTCTATGAAAAAGAATGCAAACAAAAACTTTATAGACTATAATATTTTTGGTATATAATACAAAAGCATAGTACAAATGTTGTATGTAACAAGAGGAGGTAAAACATGGATTGCTGAAAGATGTGCAGTTGTGGTTGCCCATTATGTCTTTGCACAACCAAAAAGCTGCACAAGTGAAGGTTAATTTCACTTCTTTAATTATATCACAAATAAAAAACAATAAACAATTATTAGAAATGCGACAATAACATGATAAAAGTATTATTTCTATTAAGTAATAGACTAATATAATTTCACTTAAGTGTATCTTAACTAGCACAAAAGCTAAACCAGGATTGTATGAAGCAAACAAGTAGCTGATTTTTACTCAATTATGCACATTACCTGCAGCGAGGCCAATTCAACAAGAAGCTTTACTGCTTTATTGAATGTCTGTGAGCAGTTGTTCACTTGCTGGCCACCTCTAGACAAGCCAGTCAGTTCATAGGCTGTAAAAAGAAATTTTGAGCATTAAAAAAAAGATTCATATAGCAGATCATATGTGTGATCTCAATTTTAATATGATGCAATTGGAAAATGAAATTATCTTATCCTTGAGTGTTTTAAACAGGGAATTGTTGTCTTAGTTGTTGAATAAAATTCTAAAGTACAATAAAAAGACTATTTTTTGATCACAGACAGAATGAAAAGATTGCTGTCTTTCAACTGATAGAAAAATATTTGTATATATGCAAAGATAACAAAACATATTAAATAAGAGGGATTACTAAATAAAAATCAAGACAAATGTGAATATAAACCCACTGTTTGCTCCATCATTGTAGGATTCAAACATTGGCAGCAAAACACCTAAAAAGTAAGTAGTATGTCTTAGCACATGTTCTTTCATGCCATCAGCACACAACATTTTAATACATTCCATTAGCATTTAAATTTATTTCAGGTAAATTTATGCATTCAAGTCCAGTTTCTATATTGTAAACCATTGCCTTTAAATATATTGTAAAACTATTAATACTATATTTATATAACAACAGTAGCTCCCTCTCCACGGACAGATAAAAAGGTGCATTGCCTTCTTACTGATTCGATTCTTCCAGACTTACAAATATACAAAAACTAAAATATTTAAACTATATATACACATTTCATAAAATTAAGTAAATAGTTTTTTTCAAAATCCTTTTCAAGCTGGTTGCTATACAACCCAAAGTACCAGAAAACAGTGAAAAATATTCAAACCTGCTACATTGTCCTTTCTTGTCTTAATTTTTGTCCATGCTTTATCAACATTTTCACAAATAACAAAACTTAAAATAAGAAAAATTATGTATCAATTAATGTCAAATAATGATGGAAACATACAAAGAATGCGACCATCAAAATGAAGAGTTTTGCATATATTCTTTATACATGATCAATTCATAAAATTTACTTTCTTTTAAGGAAACTAATTTTTTCTTTGAGATTTTAAAGTTTAGTAATTTTCTTTAATATGGAAACTTTGGATATTGCTCCATGCTTCTTCTAAATACAACAAAGAAAAAACCCTGCTAGTCATGATTGGTTCCTGGAAGCACTGTAACAAGGCTTGTGTCAAATTTCTTGATGAGATAAGAAAAAAATCAGGAAACAAGTATGATGTACCTAAAATCTCCAGCTGCAAAATAAGCTTCAGCAAGGGAAAATGAGGCCTCTTTCATAACATCACCCATCAGTACTTTAGTCTAAAAGGCAAACAAAGTATTAACAATTAGAAAATATAAAATCAATGTTGTTAATAAACTTCTCAACTGATATGGCTTCGTTTTGAGCCTTACTCAAGTCCATGTGGCTATGGAGAAAACTAAATGATAGAAGTTTGATCAGAAGGAACAGAATGAAGTGATGATACTGGTACATTCCTCAGAAACCACAGCACAATGATAAACCTTAAAGGCATTGATTCATGATAAATAGACTGGGTATACCCTAAGGGCCAAAATCCGCTGAGTCATGATTTCCATGACTGCGATGCTATTGGTTGACCTGGAACTGGTCACATGAACTCACCTTGTACTGATTAACATAAAAGTTTCCATCAATAGCAAGTTGTCAACAACGGATGCCAATATCACATGAAACAGCAGCGATCACGCCGAAACCAAATGACCCCCTATAGAGAAAGCCTATTTACCATGACTCAATGCCTTTAATATTCAATTTTCAACCTTCCTCCTTTTGTTCCCCTGTACTGGCTGAAGATTGGGACAAGTTTGCCTTGAAGTCTTTCCAATAAAATGGCTTAGTTTATCCAAGATTTTCAGTAAACCAAAGTTCCTAATCTTTTGGGTTATGTCACATATAAAGATGTGGATTGTCTATTACACATTATTATTTCTTTACAAAAAAAGGAATTTTAAAAGAACTAATAATGGCTTTTGTATATGCAAAGTATGAAAAGTTTATAACAGAGGTCAGTGTTTATTTTGAATAATCTAAATTTTTATATTCCAGCAGAGTTAAACTTACCTCAATAATATTCTTTAAAATTTTACGAAACCTAACTGTGAGAGCATCTGACTTCTTTTTCAACAAACTGTGCCCTTTTTGGGCCCCTTTCAGTCTAGCCTTCATGATGGCCATTGCCCTAAAGTAAAATTCAATAAAAACTAATAGTTAGCAAATTGTATCATTTAGAAAAAGTGCATTATCCAGGCCTGGCCGTTTGTATTTTTATAGGCGAGCTGTGAATCGCTCCCCTCATTTGCTGAGGCGAGCTAAATCAGTAACACATAGAATGTACTTTAAAGACAATCAACAGATGACTTAATAAGCCCTTTTAGTATCTGTCAGTTGCCTTAATGTTGAAAATGGCTTTGAAAATTTTTTTTAAAACAAGCTGAAGTTATACGTCTGACACTCTTCAGAGAATAAAACGTCAGAACAAAGATGGAAAACTTTACGCTAAAATACCCAGTTTTGGATCGAAATAGGCCAATCAGAAAGCGCGAGCACATGACTGTTGAGGTTGTCCAATCAGTGCCGCTTTCCTATTGAAAATGTTACCAACGGAGTCCTAAGGTGAAAACGAACTCACTTATGTCTACACAGAAGCGGTCGGTCATGTTTATATAGTAAATCGATTCACAAACTGCTAGATGGAACGATGATCAGGCTTTGCCAATAATGCCAAACATGTTGCCGTTATAGTTTTCACCCAATCTGGGTTTTTCAGTAAATGCTGCTGGATAGTGGAATTCCATGTTTTGGTTGTTGTTTTTGATCTGCAAGACAGAGTACCTTGTTCTCTTTGAGGCATAGTTTTGTTTCTATTGCTGGAAGGGACCTGCTGTCTTATTATATCCCCAATCTACAATTCCTACCAATTTCTTCGACTTTCCTTCCAAAAATATTCCTGTTTTCTTAAGATTGAAAGGTTCTAATCACTACAAATGTACCTTTCGGTTAACTATCTTTTTCCAAATAGATCGAAGTTTATGCTTATCATAACAAAAACCGCCCAACAAGCAAAAAGTTAATTGCAAAAAATGCAATGACGGGAGAAATCACTGTTACAAAAATAAACCAATTAACCCTTGTGCGTTTTCATAATTCTCTGAATAGGAAATTTTAGGGGAGCGATTCTTCCTTCATGTTCTGTTTAGGAGAGCAATTCATAGCTCGCCTCAGGTTGCGAGGGGAGCGTGGAGGCGAGCTCGAGCTATCGCTCGCCTCAAACAGCCAGGCCTGATTATCTTAACCAAACACACAGTTGAGATATAACAATATCCAGGAGTCCAGGCACCTTAAAGAAAACATTCCTTTCGCAAGTTCAGTCACGATTAAATCTACTACTGGAATTTTCAAGAACAGATTTTGAGGTACCTCTCTTGGCCAATGAACACATAAATTGGTTACCAAAGAGGCTACATCAACAGTTATATAATATTTGGGAGAGGAAGAAAATTTAAATGCATTGGTATTTTCAAGGATTTACTTTTTCATACCTGGAAAACCTGGAAAAAACATGTTGACACCACAAAACTGAATATATCAGAATAAGAGGTAGTTTGCACGGTTTTCTAACAAATTATATTGCAATGTTTTTGAAACATCATTAAGAGGTAGCTGCTTCCTATTTTGGAAAACTTTATCTATCATTAATTTGACCTTTATAATTCAGCAATTTTTTATGCTACTAAGCCCATGAAAACATCTAGATGCCTTTCGAAAAGTCATTTCAAACTAAGTGGCTCGACGCACAATATTAAAAATAAGAACCTTGATGTGCGTTATAAACTTTAAATCTATCTACGTTTTGAGAAAGAAATTTGGGTAGTTGTGAGAGAAATTTAGTTCTCGAAGCAAAATAATAAGGTAGGTTTGGCATTAAAAACCTGTAAGGTGGGCCTACCAATACCTGCTGATAAAACCATGTCTTACGCAGCGATCGAATTATGCTATGCTAGGAATTTTTGTTCAAATAAGATATCAATGAATTTATGCTAGATATAACATAATTGTAGTGGAAATACTCACATTCGAGAAGGGAAAATGTTTATTCTGTCTTTCCCCGACATCTTGGCTGCACTACTTGACCCAGAATTGACGGAATGTTGTTTCACGCATGCGCCGCTTTCTCCTTGCGAAGGTCACAAGAGGAAATCGTAATTCCGTATAAAAAAATTGGTTTAAAGCAAAACTAAGATGATGTAATGTGATTCACAAGGAGATTCTAAGATATACTCTCCCCCCCCCACCCCCGACACCCTTCTTCATATCTTTATGTAAAAGGCTTTATCGAGAGGTGTTTAAAAAGTTTTCCTGTTCCAGAGTCAGCAATAATTTGACAAAGCCCGAGATTTTAGAATCTCATTAGAGCAAGTTATCTTATTAAAACTTCGTTTACGTCGTGTTTAATATAATTCACACTTTAAGTGTTTTCCATTGTTTCTGTTACTACATTTAGAACAAGATTGTCAACTAAATCGTTAAATTTGCTTCTCTTTAGATTTTCAAATAGTTTAAAATTGCTTTTGCTGACATGAATTATTCTTTTTTCCCTTCTTTTGATCTTTGGTACTTACCCTTTGCTACCTCTCCTTTTTCAAAGTGCTGTGTTCTGTATTTGGGTCTTTCTACTTCAAAGTTCACTTCATCCGTCATCTTTTTGGCTATCTCACTCCATTTATTTGCCGCAATGGTTTCAGAATCCAGAAAACGTTACGACACCACGGCTTTGAGCCAGAAGAAGGTTATACAAAGATACAGTAGATTTAAGTAAGGTCAGTGAAAAACCTGACAAGTGTATGTGAATTGAGAGGAATTCAACCTTTAGTATAGTGGAATTAGATATAAAAACGGTTACCCACCCAGGGTAAAAAACGGTCTAACCCGGATAAAAATAATATAAAGCTGTAATTTGGCACAGATGTTTTATACTAAGTTGGAAATGACCAGAAAAAAGCCCCATCAATTGGACATTGCGAATTCTTTATTTGGGCAAATACCATAATGGCGCACTGATCAGTAGTGGTTCAAAATTTTAATGTTGCTAAAACCACATAGTATGTACATCTTTTGAAAGATAATTTCATGCTGAATAACTTTTATTTAACGATTATCTAACGAAGAATTTACTTTATAAGCTGTATAAGTTAAAAATAGTGTTGTTAGTTTACTTGAGACAAATCAGTTGATAATCCAGTTAATTAAAATGCAATCTCCTAATGCAAGATTTTCATTTGAAATGCGTTAAGTTGGTCAACCTAACTGTTACTTTTCTGAAAATGTTGTTTTTACAGTTAGTTATGCTGAACCAGAGTGAACAATGAACTCATTCCAAACATATCTTCATTTCGAAGATCTCAAATACAAGTACCCCGGCTTCACATTGCTTACGGTGCTAACAATAAGAAGAACAGAGGTTTGAAATTGGCGGCTTAGTAGGATGTCGAGGAATAAAGTTCTTTTCTCTATTAATCTTTCAATAATCACATCTTTATCTATAATTTCCCCGCTGTTAAATGTAATCATTTTTGCACATGAAAAAGTGGAAGACCTGTTACCAATCAAAGAAAATTTTTTTTCTTGAAAGATCAAATTTTTTTAGCTTGAGCGTGGTGGTTCTCAGGGCTCATGTCTTGATCCATGCTTGCACGATCTCATTGATCCGCCTTTTTCGTTAGAAGAGGTAATGTGAAAGTGTACGCTGACGATAATACTATTTTCAATTCTGCAAGAATATTAAAGTGTATTAAATGGTTACCAATCGAATCTACAAGAATGGTTCAAGGGAAACAAGCTTTCACTGAACATCGTCAAAACACAAAAACGCTAGACTAGCTGACCCTCTAATTACCTAACCCTCTCCAAGCTGGTCGCCAGGCCTGTGGAGTAGGGGTGGCCAACTCCCTATGTCCAATTCAGGCGAAGTTTAATGTCAAGTTATTTGCAATGTTATATGCAGTAGCGTTATTACACCTTTGCAGTATAAGAAATCTGTCTTAAAGCCTGATTTAGACGAGACGAATTTTTTCGTGTGAAGCGAAGTCCTACATGGGTAATAAGAGACCCGAACAAACAAATTTCCTTCCGCTCCAATGAAAACGACTAAAAAACCCATTCAAAAAATTAGAGACAAAGGTCTCAGTGTGGCAAACAGCCAGTATTCTCGTTCTCCAGGGGTGGCATTACCCCATGCCACCACTTTGGCTACGGACCTGACCCTCTCGTGACTTTCAATGTGAAATGTCTATATTACTTTATACATCTTTCTTGTTTCCGTTAATTCGTGGGAATTTGCTGTAATAAGGAGGTTTCGTTTTCATTTCTAGCAAATCGGCTTTTTAGTTTATAAATCATTTGGCAAATGCTCTCAGTTGATAAACCTGGCTAAAAATTATGAAATGAATATGAATTATTTAAACGTTTGAATGAAAGTGGGAAGCCAAACTTTTGCAGAAACGAAAGAGGATATGACACGGCGCGAAGAACTTTTGAAAAATCCAAAAGGAGGCTAAAAGGATAGCAATGGCGGTTTGTACGGCGGAGAATCTAAAGGTTTTATTTGACCATTTAATTGAAGGTGAGGAACTTTTAACTGTGCTAAAAGAAGGTTTCAAGCATTTGCTTTTCCTACGGAGACAGCTCCCTTTACCATACCTTCTTCTAGAGCGTGAGCAGACGCTAGATAATGGTTTCCTAAACGGGCCTAATAATACTGGTAGAAGTCAAGGTAATGGTGGTAAATGTGGACACCGACCTGTTGGCCTCAGAAGTGCCAAGGCAAGGAAAAGAGATACAGCGATTACCAACATTAAAAGCAATTTGAATGCTTTGGATTGCCTTGAATCTACTAAAAGAATTTTCGCACTCGCGATCGTATTTGGTAGCACAATAATTAGCCCAAGGGAAGTTTTTTTATTAAGACCAAAATTTGGAAAGTCGGATGAAGATGTCAACACTAAAGTCGATGGAAAAAATGATGTTTCTCATGCTAAAAGGATAGACCGAACTGCACGTAGTCTGATTAGAAATCTCGTAACAAACCCGCAGCTGTCAAGTTTGTGCGAAATGAAGCCAACAAACGTGTTTATGTTTGTTCTCGCCACAAGAAGTCAGGAAAGCTCTTTGCATGATGGATTTCTGCCAAAGCAGGGCTATAAGTTACCACACAAAGGAAAACATTATGACATTATATTAACAAATGAAGATAGTTATGACTCAAATGAAGCGGATTTTTCTACTGAATTGCTGAATCTTCAGCAAGAAATGGATTTAATTTGGTATCAGGCCAAGAAAGTCTTACGCGGTTTCAGCGAAACAAAAAGTGCATTTTTTTAGGTTTTTCAATTTTTAAACTGTTCTCTATATATGAATTAAAATTTTTAAAAGGCTGACATTTAACAAAAAGAATTTAACAAGGATGTGATTTAATAACCCAATCAGTTTTAGCATTTATGATGTTATTTTATCAGCTTTTTCATTGAAAGTCTCAAGTCAAGAAATGATTAATAGATGTATGTATTGCTTTATTGTTAAACTCAGCCTTTTATTCAGTACACCTGTATGCTAACCAGGAATGTTAATGAAAATCAAATATGATCTTTGTTAGAAACAAATTGGAGTAATTTTAAGGGGGCAGTGTTATGAGACATTGCATGTATGTGGAACATAGAAATTTTGTGTCAAGGCTGGTAAGAAAACATTAAAACAGAGAGAGCCTTTAAGGCGGAGGAAACATTGGTAACACAAATCTAAAATTGGTTAACTTCACATCTATAAACAGGCAATCAATTAAAATGAAACTACTCTTTGTTTCTAGACGCTTCATACAACTATGTTATTAGAAACAGCTGATTTACAATGCAAATTGAATTGAATTTGAAAATCATAAGTCAAACAGCACAACTTATGTTTATTAATTCTCTTTAAAGTACATAGTTCTTTTTAATGATATAACACAACCCATTGAAGTTATCAAAGATTGCTAAATAGAAATGTGCCGATTTCAGTTTTGTGAACACTATCATAATACCTTTGAAGCACTTGTAAAATCATTGTGATTGGTTAGTGTCTAACCTTTATTTTCAAACAGTAATTTTATATAATCTTTTGCTTGATATATTTAATATAAATTTTTATGTAGTAGGATCCCTATAACTATTTGTTCGCATCTCTGATTGTTTTTCTATGACAAAGCAGTGCTGATCACACCCTCTTTTTGCCTTCTTGTGACCCACATAATATATGATTTTGTAAATTGCTTCAGTAATTGTGAAAGCAATGTTTGGTATTGCTGTTGCATAAACTGTACCAATGGAGAAGCCAGTCAATACCCCTAATAGAACACTCCTGTGCAGTGTCATTCAGGAAATATTTTGTGTAAATGTGTTTGGTCGTCATAAGATGATTGGTTTTCTGTTGGCAAGCCAGGATGCACTGTGAAAGATCCTTAAGGCATGAAATTTTTTACATTTGACCACTATTATTCATTGAAATAGATTTTTCAAATTTTCCACATAGGATGTGGATTGCATTAGCAGTAACTGCCTTGATTAAGTCACTTTTTCAATTAGATTTTGTGTTTCTTAAAAGGTTGATGTCATCCTGACTACTGAGGAATACTTTTTTGTGACTTTTAATGAAGATAAATTGAGTTATATTAACAATCAGGAGGTTTTTTGTATTTCTGTTTTGCCGCTAACATTAGGAACAACACCTTAAATTTTTAAAGATTTCTTAATCAGTTTAACTTACAAAGACAAATTTAATCTACAGTTTTTATGATAAATAGCCTAAAATACTCTGATGTATGCTTTATTACTAACTATCCAGGCTCTGTCAAGCAGTTTGTATTCTGTTAGTACAAAGCCATAATTACATCCTCATCAAATATCCTTTAATATGCCTGACAGCTGTATGTCGATAGTGTGTTTAATTTGCAAGTGTTTCTGTATACAGCCAAATCTGTGGATTAGTCTCTGTAACAACTAGGGGCTACAGTAGCTTCAATCAAAGTCTTCTTCATCACTTGTGTCTGTCAGAAGATTCATTCTGTCCAGCTGCACAAAATCTCTTTGTTGCTGAAAAAAATTCAAGAAATTGCACTTACCTGTAAAAAAATATCTAGCCCATAGAACAACAAAAATCGCAACTTAAATCTACATTGATTTCAAATATGAATTACTTTCAATGCTTTCCGAAAGAGAAGGCCAAAAGGTCTAAGCGAAGAAAACAATTAGGTGCATACAATGAATTTCAGAAAACTTAGTCCTGCTGTGTGCATTTTAGATGGGATTAAAAGTCTTAGATTATAAATGATATGTTGATAATTGCAGAAAGGAAGTAAAGCAACTACTGTTTAAAGAATGATGGTTGCTCCCATGACGTCGCTAGTGTCTATAGTATAAAGAAGGGACGAAGAAATGCGTTGAAAAATTGGGGCAGGTTCAAAAAAGGGCATCATTTGACATAAATAGCGTATCTTTAAGGTCACAAAGCTACGTTGTTTAGTGCAGTGTATCGCCTGCCTTGCACTATAGAAAAACCTAATTTCCTTTAATTAGACGCAAGTTGAAGAGCTCGGGCTATTTGTAAAGCAGAGGGGGCACTTCAACCAGCTCAAGGACACGTAGTAATCAATACTCCATTTCTAGCAAATCCAAAAGGAAATGCCTATAGGGAGATTGAGACTTGTTTTCGTTGTTCCCATTACGATGGAGCATTATAAAAATCTTAATGCTATGCACATTTCTCTCATCACCAATAACAAATGACCAAAAATATCATGTGCTGTGAAAGTCAGTTTCCTAAGCTAGTGAGAGAAAAGTGGAGGCATTATCCTTGTATCCTTTAACATCTTTTTTTTAGCAAAAACGGGGTCATGGTCCCAGCTTTTAAAACAAAGGTCGTATCAATTACTCCAAGCTACGTTTCTGGATACCTCAAAATATGAAAAACTAACATAATTTACAATCTTTGCTTTTCTTGCTATTAACCTGATTTTGCTTGGCATAAATACCAGGTTTTTAGTAAAAATGTGTACCTAAACTCACCTTTCTACCGAAATATCGAACCTTCTTTAGCTTTCTTCTTCTGCAGCAGCGAAACAGCAAAATTGCAATAGAGATAAGCAAAGCTCCGACAACACCAGATGCTATCGGTAACAACACATTCACGTATACGAACCCAATGCCCTGAAATGGTAGCGTTTCAATTTAACTTGCCATGTGTAAACTTATAATCAAGTTAGTTTACTAATTACGCAAAACTGTATCAGAAACATACTTTTTGACAGCTGACAGTTTATTTTGCTTGAAGTCTTTTTTGGTAGGGTGTGTTAATTGTTTATTGTAATACCAAATGCTTTATGGAACAAATTTGTTTGAAACTAGCATTTGCTGAAGGCCTACCCTCCTTGAATCTTTAACACCTGTTGCGTTACACTTTAACCTTCGAAAATGCCTGAACAATCACGAGATTTTATGCGTAAACTAAATCAACCTCAGTAAAGTATTGGGTACTGTGACCGGCACTCACCTTTTCGTTCTTTATTGCCTCAGGTACATAACCTAAAGAACAAGGAAAAAAACTTATAAGTATGTAGAAAATTATGCATTAAAAAAGTAACGGTGCATTCGGCTGATTGTTTGGAATAAACTTTTGAGCAGGCTTATTCTTTTTGTCAACAAACAGCTCAACTCAGAAATATCATATGCGTCTTTCTGTAATTGGTGGTCTCTTGTTACACCTCCATTGATCTTTGAAACATAAATGCAAATTTCTATTTTGATGACCTATTCAGAAAGAAGATCCTTACCAGCTCAAGATCACAAGTTTCAAAAGTTTCTTAGAAAATTGTCTATCATACTGCGATGAACAATTGTTGTTTTATCTTGGCACCAATTCAAATCTTTTTTAGGTTATGTTTGGCTTAGAGGAAACTCAACCCCAAAAGGTAAGCTATTATTGCCTTAAGAATGGTTACTTTGAGAACGTATTCTTCATTTACGGATTCACTAGTCCGGTGATCATAGGCTAAAAAGCTGGGATTGTGGATTTGGCTTGCTAAGTAATATGTATCATACCTCCATATCCTTTTCATCTGGAAGAACAGGCATACCCACAGTAGGGCTTGATGGGTAAACAGTGGATGCATACGTATCTGACTTTGACTTTGATGGGTTTGTGTTCGTCCCCGCGACACGTGAAACCGTGTTCTTTGTGTTGCCAAAACTCGTACTAAATGATGATATAGTCTTTTGTGCTGTATCTGATATCATAAGGCTGCTATGCGCTGCGGGCGATGATGAAATAAACAACGGAGTTGTTGATAAGTTCAATGTAGAAACGAAATGAGAGAACAGAGAGGCATGTTCATTTACTCTCGTTACCAATGACACGTTGGTCGTGCTGTTTACTGTCGTGTTTGTAGTGTTCAAGTGTCGCGAGCTAGAAACGTTCTTTGAGAACACGATACTTGTGCTGTTTAGGACTTTCGTTGGTTTTAAGGCTGGTGTACCTAAAAGTTCAGTACTGTTTCTGATTACTGACTTCGACATACTTTCATTTGATGAGCGAGAAATGCTCATCTTCTCTGTACTGACAGAACCAAAACTCGATGGACTTGGGACAATTGACTTGATTGGCACTGTTGGACTAGCTATTTGGCTAGCCTTTTTGTCCACAGATTCTCTAGTTTGTGAATTTTTCGAATCATAAGCAGCTTGCTCGTTTTCGTTTGATCCACCCAAGAATGGAAGTTGATTGAGAATACTGTCAATAAGATTTCCTTGTTTCCAGTGCTCTAATTGCTCTTGATTATCAGTAAGAAGATCTTCCGGCACAGAGTCGCAGCTACCTCCATGAAAAATATAAACAACAAGTAAGAATAAAACGTATACTTTCGAAAACATGTTGATCTCTCTATTTCTTGAAAAACTTGCCAAAATATGAAGCTACTGCTTCAATTTTAAACCAAATTTAGCCTCAAGAGCAAGCCAGTTGACATCTAGACACGCAAAATGCGTTTGGAAACTGTGAGATTACACATCCGCTATAATCTTATACTTTTGTTACTTTGGCGAAAATCTGCTTCTCATCGGAAAGGAGCCATTTCGGGTTTAATCCGTCACACTCTGATCCACAATAGTCCTTTAAGCTTCTAAAGTTTGAAGCACATTTTCAACTCATCTTGTTCCACTTAGAGACGCCAATATTTTTAACAATCGTTTGATACACAATGTATACAAAAAGTGTTGGCTACGACACAACAGTCAGAGTTAACAAAAAACAGACGTAAAAATCTCTATAATTACTGTATACGTAATTAGGCTCAACGGCAATGTTTCCACGACGACAATCTCCAGATCATTAGAGCATGTAGCCACCTGTTAGAGGACACTGTAAATACACGTGCAGAACTGGTAAGCACGAACAACAGGCGGGTACTGGCCGAGAACTATGTCCTTTGTAACGCAAATCAAACGTACCTCGATGGATAGACCTGCCAAAAGTAGATGAATACACTTTTCATCTGATGAATTTTTCAATATTTTTCACTATGAAAAATCATTCTACATTTCTCCAACTTTTGAAGTTAATAGTTTCTTTCTATGAATATCAAAAACCAAAGTTTTTCCCGACACTATCTAGGAAAGGGAGAGTATTTTCAGACGGCATAATCAGACAGCGCGCACTTTAGTGTGGTAGCAAGACAGCCACTTTTATATATACGACCTAAAATAACAGCTACGTCACTGCCGAAGCTCTTATAATGAAGTACACATACTCAGCATGAAGCGATTGTAATGCCCTGCTACTTTGCTGTGTTATTTGAGCAGAAACACGAGACCGGTTAATAGAAGTTGATGTCAGCGCTGTAAAACAGAGGAACACATTCAAGAATCGTTCTAATGTATGACGGTTCTGTATACGATGTCTCCTCAAAGGATTGAATTTTAAAATTCTATCGACTACTCAGTAATCTGATTCACTAATCGCTATTTGTTCTACTCAACAGCGTTAAAAACTAAGAATCCATTTCAATGATTTCATATTATTATGTCTTGCATTCGTATTCTTGTTCGAAATAACACTGTAGATATAACAGTTGTTTCATTACTTTGTTTGCCAAAACACAATAGTCTGGCGTGGACTTGTCTGGTTTATGTAATAGTCGAGGTAGAAGCGTCTTAGGACTTAGAAGATGTTTCAGCTTGTTGCCTTATAGATGAAGTCTCTATACGTGGGGTCACTTGAATAAGTTTCATACGCTTTTTATCATAGTAGGCACACACGGCCATTTGGAAATGTTTACATCATTCTGCTAAATTGTAGTCGGTTGACATTTTCTTATAATTTACTCTTGGCTTTCGAATTTAAAAGGCATATGTCGGATTAACAATTGGCTAATGAAACAAAAGCGTTTGGAGTCGAATTTCATTGTTTCGTGATTTTTCACTTCTTCTTCAGCAAAAATTCACCCTCGATTTCATGCTTTCTACCAAACCGAAAAAGATAATTGTATTGCATTAGCCAATCATGTTCACGACACATGTGCTTTAACGTCAGAGGCCAGTTTTCTGGCAATTTCTAGCATAAGAATATGAAAAACAGTACAAGCCTTTTTTTAGAAGAAATTCACCCAAACTCTCCCCTAAGTGCCCTAAGTCTGACCAATGGTGATACACATATTCCCATCCTTGAAAAAACTATTAGATGACTGTTCCTTAAAATTACAGCTAAACTATATTGGTAGAAACTGTTTCTTCTTCAAAAGGAATTTGGCAATTCATTAATTGACTACTGGTGATACAGATCTGTTACTTGACAGCATATGCTCTTAAAAACATACTTCCAGCAGTGATGTTTAAATTAAGTATTTAAGTATAACTGTTAGGCTAGGCTATCCTTATCTCTGAAATATAATTTAGTAACTGACAAAAATTAAATTTATTATTGAAAGCTGAAATTGGGGTAATACAAAGTATCAAGCCCCAGTATACAACGAGAAAAAGTAAATATATAACAAGAAGACAGGATAGAAAAGAAGTGGTTTTTTATTGTTCAGCTCTTCTTGCACTAACAGAGATCCAGCACTGTATGCTGCCCATCCAACACCAAACACCTATAAAAAAAGAAGATGGATTTTAAAGTAAAAACCCTTCACAAAGTTTATCATCTGTCATCAGGGATGGCACTATGGGGTGTCAAGGGGGCAGCTGCATCCCCAAAAAGTTCCCAATGACACCCCATTGACACATAGTGGTTTGGTTTCTAGCGCCACCCCTGCCTGTTGTAATAAAATATTATTTTGAAAAGAAGCTACATGATGGATAACAGAAATTGTTGACACATTCTACAAAAAGAGATGTGAGAAAAAATACCTACTTTATAGCTTCCAAATTTTATTTGGCGTCTTTTTATAACAAAGTATATTTTAATGCAGCAAACAATCTAATGTTCACTTACCTTGCTTAGGGCAGCCAGATAGTATGAAACACTGAGCACTGGTTGAGCAATACCAGTGATAATTAAAGGAAGTAAACAGTAGCCAATAACACCAAGGCATTGTGAATAAGAAACCTGGAAAATGTAAATAAGGACTTTGATAAAAAGAAATACAAATGCTATTCAAACAACAAAAGCTGATGATATAAGTTCACTTATGATGATAACTTTGAAAATGGTTTTGAAATTGGTCAGTGTTAATTAAGCATTTTATGATATAAAGATAAATTGAATAAACCAAATGTTCTGTCTTTTCCAATAATAAAAGACAAACAAACTTTCAAACATCATACTGTCAAGGGCACAATTTCTGATTGCTTTTTAATTAAACCTGAAGGTTAAAAAATCTTAGAGGCTGGATAATTTTAGTAGTTCTATTTTCTCAAACTGAGTACTTACTTCCCCACCAAGTGCTCTTGCCAAAACAAATATAACAAATGAGCCAGTAAACCAGATTGTAACTATCCATGACAAAACCTAATAGGAAAATGTTGGTGATAAAAATATTATCTACATCATATTCTGAATTAATAACTTGTAGTAGTAATTCTACATAATGAGTACCACAGCGCACAATATATGCTGGATGTGATAAATGCTCATAATTAGTCAAGTTGATAGGAAAGTAGACAAGTGTTTTTGTGTCTTTAGAAAAAAAGTTGCCTGTTCAGTAAAAGTTTGAAAGGATTTATATTTCTTTGAATTTTTTTGCTTGATAAAGAAGTTTAAAACTTTTACCTGATAAGGTACTGAAAGAGATGTCTTTCGAAAATGAATAAAATAAAAATAAATTAAAAAATCAGAAAGACCTTGGGAGACTTTAGCCCCAATTTGAGTGTACAATACATACCCTGAACTGTCCATATAATGAAAGCAGTGAAAACACAAGAACCACAAACAATGGACCCCAGAAGTCAGGATTTTCTTTAACAATGCTTCTTTGAAATCCCAATGAAGGAATAGGAAAGAGAACACATCTCAATTTGTAAAAGATCTCTTGTGGATTTATATCAAGTTCTTCCCTGGAAAAAGCAAGACACACATATTAAGGCATCTTCAGTAAAAATATCATTTCAAAAAATAAGAAACAAAATGATTAGCAATTGAATTTGTTTCCAGCTACATCAAGCAAACACAATATGCAATATCAGTTACTGGCAAAGAACTCTGGACAAAACACAAATAAATAACTTATAAGATGAATGACTTTGACAGAGTTACCTTTAAAAAAACAAAAAGTCAGATTAAAACATCATAGGAATGCAATTGATTTAACCTTTTTTCACATTTGAAATAGAATCAGTTCTGAAAAAAGTTTTGAATTTAAACCAATATCTATTCCCATGCTTTGTAACATATCAAGCAATACTTTAAAACGCTTTTAGGCAACACATGGCAGTGCTTATTGATGTTTAAAGCATTTGGCTGATGATTTGAACACTGTGCATTTAAGCCCTATTAGGATTACTTCCCTCAAGCCTATGGCCAATTCAGCTGGTGATCAAAGTAAAAAATACTCTGCATATTATGGGACACACATTGCAGGTTCACAACAGTTTCAAGCTACAAGTGAGGTATTCAGAAGGTATGATTGCAAGTTTTGCAACTTTGCATTGTTATTACACGAGTAAGCACAGTTTCTCCAGTGTTGCACACTTGAAAACTGATTTGCCATTGTGGAAAATCTATTTATTTGGGTGGATCCTGAAAAGTTAGCAGCAACAGAAAACCATTTGCTCAAAGTATTGCAGGGACAGAATTCCCAAGCAAGAAACTACAAGATCCAGGTTGGAAAACATTTATAATTTTGCTTCAACCAACGGTACATTATCAGCTGTCATCTGCGCAAGTAGAGGTATTTGAGCTGGAGCAATTAAAATTAAAAGTACAGTGCTTTGGTATGATATAGATGACTTAATTGATATTTTGGGTCAAACGTAAGCACAAGAAATTGTTGCAAGCATTTGCAAGTTTTCCAGCCTGGAATAAGATAAACTTCAAAAGTATCTTTGACGTTTGAAGTGCAAGCCTAAGATGTTGTTGCTGCAAAGCCAAAAATTAATAGAAAATTGACCATTTTCCATGAAAATTATCATATGGACGACAATCTGGACAAATGGACAAATGGACGACACCTCGAAAAGAATAAAAGGTTTGTCATAAGAAATTAACATACAACAAGGGCTTGTCGTAGGCCTCATCATCAATATCTTCTATTTCCAACAACCAGCCGAAGCCTCGCTTGTTTAGGATGTTTGAGGTAAGACCGTCGACTCCTGTGGCGTCTTTGGTTGTCGAGCTTTGGTCGTTGTTTATCATCGTTCCACTGTAAACATTTTGATCACTTTCTGTGCTTACAAATGAAAGCTCTCCGAGCTCAATGTTTGCCATATCTTGTGTCTGAGATGTCATTTTTACGGTCGTAGCATTAAACTATTGAGATAAATTTTCGCTTCTCCTAGCCGTTTTTCTTTTCAATCATCAAGGCCATTGATATGATATTCACCTTTTCGCGAAATTGTTTGCGATAGTATCTGATAAATTTCAGTTGTAATTACTTTTCTGGATTATCCACCAAAATAAATTCGAAATAAAACTATAGAAATAAATTGCTGTTAGGCTTCCAACGCTTGATTTAAGATGACAACGAACAGAAAAAAAATGTTTCTCTGCAACTCAACTAACTTGTGAAACCAAACATGGTGACGTCGAGGTAGCAGCATCAACAACATAAGTTACAATAAACACTGCGAAGGAGCAACTTTGGTTAGCGAGTGTGGTGGCGGGAAGGAAGAAGGATTAGTGTTGTTTGTGTTTTGGAAAAGACGCGAAATGCCAAAAAGAAAATGCCCGTTTCCTCAAAACTCCAATCTGATGAAAATGCACATTGACATGAGGGATGTTGGTAAAGAAGAATACCAAAGGGAGGTGTATGGTAAGTGACTCTTATATTGTTTTTACGCGGACTAAGAAAGGCAAGTGTGTGATTTTCAGTCCCTTGTGCAGCAAATCACTTCAGATCATTCAAAAGTTCATTTCAGTATATTATAAAGAAACAAATCATTTTGAAAGTTTTTTCATGTAGAAGAGACAAGCCAGAGTTATATAGAGGACGATGAATGTCATGTTAAATTAAATTCTGCTTGTCACGATTTCACAGAAAATTTGACTTTGATTTTGCTGCCAGGAAGAAAGATCTTTTTTCAAGCCCTGAGAGTTCCAGGTTCTTTGTAAATCATGTCAGGAAATGAGCATTGCATTGTCATACCAGATATCTTTTTTGTTTCTATACATGATCAGTTCTATCGTAATATACTTGTAAAATACTTCCATGCAAGGCAAAATCCTTCAGAAGCTGCTTGAATGAAAAGAAAGGCTGTGGGTACCATTTGATCATTGGTGTTTGCACTTGATTGCGCAAATGCGTGCCTGAGATCATGTACTGTAAAGAAATTTCTATTGTTAATAATGTAAAATGTAATCAAATAGAGACTGCGCTGCCAATATGCAAAAGTGCGCGGATGGAAAAATTTGAATGCGTGGGCAATATATTGCGGGCATGAGACAAACTTTCCATTCTGGCCCAAGCAGATCTCTAACTCGGAGCCCTCTGTAAAGATTTTGGTAGGTTCGTGGCTGATCACATACCTTGAAGCAAACTTTTTCATCAAGTTGTGCATTTCATAACTTCTGGTTTAAATTTTACAGAAAAGCAGTAATATCAGTACTATTGATGTTGTGACTTTTCAAGGCAATTTCTGGGCTTTATGATCCCAAAGTATTATAAAAAATTTGTCTTTCAAGTGTTATAGATACCCAAAAAGAAACTTCTATTATTTTGATCTCAACATAAATTTGCCACAGTACTATACTGAACAAGCATAGCTAGACTATAAACATGCTTTTAATCTAAAAATTACTTCCTGTTATGGTAATAGTGGCAACACAGATTTAGAGTGGTTCTTTCACCTACTTAACTGGCACAGACAGTTTTCTATTGTTTAACTTGCATATTGGGTCATGCGATTCCCCAAACCGTAAATGATGTTATTAAAAGATGATTCCTGGGCTACAAGATGATGTTTCTGATCAAAAAGCACACAATATCACTACTTTTTGAGAAGCAGATGTGTTGCCAAATGCACACATGCCAAGGCACTGACGTGCAACCACGTGCCTCTCACTGAGTGTTGTGCCTCTAATGGTCTATTACCTGTGTTATACATACATAACAGTTTATGTGTCAGTGAATTGCATGCTAAGATAAATGTGATACCTGCTAAGGTCTGTGCAGAATACTTGGCCTTTATAGTGCTTGTCTCACTGATTCTTTCAGCTGTCCATTCTAGGAGCATTTACAATCTTCTCAGGCAAATGGTTGCAATGAGAGTTGACTCTATTACTATAAGAATCAGGCCTTTTTGTAAGAAATAGCCCACTTGAGTGGCCCATCGCTCGCATGGTTTCTCTTGAGCAAGCAATTGCTCAAATAATAAAAATAATAATAATATTGAACAATGCTAAAAGCGTCTGTAATGTTTATAAAAACCGTATGATCATGTTGTTTAAGGTAAAATCAAATGAAAACGAACTGTTACAATGACCTTTAATGCACTCCAAGAAAGATACCCAATATATAAGTGTTTCATTTATTAGCTTTTACACACATCACAAAGGGCATATCAACGTTATTGCCACATGATTGCAAAATGTTTTTCTTTTTCCAAAACGCTTTAACTGCCCAGAAAATTGTCCAAGTGCTATTGTAGTTCAAATACTAAATGCCAATAGTATTCCTAAACATTCGCAATGGAATTGATTTTCAAATGCATTTTTTCATTGAGATGTGGTTGAGTCAGCTTACTTATATTTTCTGTGTTTTGATGTATCGGCTTTATATTGTCTATGTCACTTGCTTGGGTCACAAAAAATGACTAGAAATGTGTTAATTGATGAGACATTTATTCCTCAAAATGGTTGGGTTTGCGCAAGTGCTGATGTTATCGTGGGTGATTGCTCATGTCAAACGAAATGGCCTGAAGATTAAACCTCTGTTTTGATAATTTTCAACTGTGTCCCCTTGTTTCGCCTGACATTCTTGACAGGGGATTGTGGCTTTAAACATTGTGCATCTTATGCATGTATTTATATGTTTGATAATATGACTTCCTTACTGATTACTTTTTTATTTAGAAAAGACAAAAAATCTATTGATGAAAGGTGCCATTGAGGCATCAAAGACACATAACAGTACCACCGATGCCAACAGGATTTCTAATGGAAAAGGAAAAAAGGTCCTTGGACCTGCTTTGAGTAAAAGGGTCACATTTGAAAAATGTTTAAGCTGTGGCAATGCAAATGGAGCTAGTTTAATAAAGTGTGAGTTTTGTGAACAAAATGTATGCACAGGCTGTTGCAGGGTTTGTGTTGAGTGTGAGAAGACTTTCTGCCATGTCTGTTCAGTTATCAAGTAAGTGCATTTAATGCCAATATGCATTTACAATTTTATGTGCAATTTTGTTGTTGCTATGCATATCATGTCTCTAATGAAAATCTTTTAACTACATCAAACATTCACTGGCTGCCTTCTATAGAGAAGATTCTGACAAACACAAACAAGCTCAGTGAAATCACAAATTATTGACAAATTTCAATACCTCTGAATGATTTTGTACTAGATATTTCTTTGGGTTGAAGGTTGTAAAAAACGCATGAGAACTAGCAACTTTCTCCACTTGACTTTAATCCTGTAACTTTAGTCCCACAGATATCTAAATTTTTAAAGTTACTTGTGTTTTCTTTTGATATTTCTTTGAGGTGTGATAATCTATTAAGATGCCCAAATTTCCCTTTTTGTTATTGCCTTGTTTGAAGCCTTTTTACTAGTTGCTTACCAGTTGAAAGGTATTGTTATCAGATTTTTTCATTTGCCTTTTGTTTATTGTATAGTTGATTAGTATGCATATTTATTTTGAAAGCAAGATTTTGATATCAAGTGTTGTTGATGCTCTTAGCTTAGTTATGTTAGTGCTAAATTTTGCATAGTTTTACCAATTTTTTCCTTAGCAATGCTCTGCAGGTTTGTCTTTAAAAAAAATCTTGATTCCATTTATTTGATTGATATTACCCATTTTTTATTCACAGCTATGACTTTAGAGACGAGAGAGAGTTTTGTCTCAGCTGTGTCAGATAAGTGGATCTTATCTTCTTATGTCATTTCAAGAAGGCTTTGGGGACAAAAAAAGACATCACAGCAACTATTTTGTAATAAAAGGATTTTATAAAAACAAGAAATGTGTGCTGAAAGAGGTATCCTGAGGGTTTCTTGCTTTATTTATTTTGCTAAAACTTTGTGAATAGTTCAATTATTGAACATGTAAATACCCAGTTTCTATTAACCATTTCATGTTAGCAGTACCCTTATACTTTTTCAATGCCTAATGATTATAGGAAGTTTCTAATATGTCTCTATCTTTGTATTTTATTTCATATTTAATAATGTAAATACTTAACTGATGTTTCATCAATTTATGGAGGCTGCAAACATCAAGAGCTTGTCTCTAAGTAATACCGTGAAAATTGTTTTGCAATAAAATCATGTGATTAATCAGACAAACTGCTTTCTGCTCCATTTACACTTTCCTCTTTCTTTTGCTCATTCAATTGGAAGCCAAGCAATGCAACCAAACATGCTGGTATTGGAGTCTTTTCCTTCTAAAGAATATTTTTATAAAAAGCATAAAGGACTGCAGCTTTTGACCATCAGTTTATATTCCTAATGTTGTATGTTTGAAAATTGATAAGATTTCTTAAAAAACTTCTTTCGGCTATTGTTGACTACTACATTATCAAGCCATAAATAGTTTGTATGATGTTATGCACTATTTTTGATTGTTTTAAACATAGCCTTGTCTGTATTATAATAGAGTTATTATCTATAACTGTTTTCAGACAAATTTTGTCTTCTTTTTGTGACTTTTTGTTTCTGTTTTGTTTAAACTGAACTGTTTATTTGATTCTATTGAAAGACTGCTAGAAAATATGTGACCCGTTTCATATATTCTGTAGTTTTATTTATTGCACTGCAAATTTGATTTATACAGTAATTAGGAAATTAATATAGCTTGATCATAGGCAGATTACAGATAAGGTTGACTTTCTCAGAAAAGTTTAGTGAAAATTGAGTTGCAAAGCGATTGCATCGTTCAATCTATTTTAGGATATTTGACCGCTTTAGCAGAAAGACTGTGGTATAAAACCACTGAATTCGCTGTCAGTTAAAAACTCTTAAAAGCAACTTTTGACTGACGACATCATTGGGCACGTGATTTGCAGATGATGAATAGTAAAAAAGTTGGTAACTTTTACTATTGACAGACAGCATGTTTCATCTAATGTTGAACGATTTCCACTTAATCTATTCCTTGCTAATGGCAAAAGCATAGTCACCCTTGCTCTGAATATCGCAAAGTAAGGAGTGGCAACCATGGCCAGCATAGCAGAGCAGTTGCTAGTTTTACTTTACCAGTTTTTTCTGCAAGGAACTACAAGAGCAATCATTTTCGCAAACAAGATTACAGGTAATAAGAAAATCCTATTTATAAGAGGACATCGAAATTCGCAAATTGTTCGAGACTTTCAGATGGCATTAGAAAAAAACGCCAGGTCTAGTGGGTGTACCCAAGCATACGGGAATGTTTAGAGATATTTCGGCTATCATGAGAGAAGGTAAAATTTCTCAATCTGCTGACAAATTAAGTGAATAAATAGGATTATAATAATGACTTGATTGACAAGAGTATAGAGACAAGATTTCCAAAAGTTTATTCAAGAAGTAGAAGCTTGCTCTTGAAAAAAATCTATGCCAAGGGTAGGCAAGTTAATGATGATACAAGTACGTGTTTTGTGCGACCCAAAGAAAGCAGGACTTATCTAGTCCAAGCCGCAAAATAGAATTTATGAATATCTATATTACTATCGAAATTGAAAATGAATGTCGAAAATATGCAGCATACAAATATTTATAAGCTTTCGCGTTTTTATTTTGTAGTTTGGGGTAAAATCATGTTTGCTTTGCTTAGTAAATTTTTGACGGTTTGGGATGAATGAGAGAACTTCTAATTCTTTTAACCGTTTATTTGTTACTTCGTCATAGGCCTAAAGTCTATAACTTTCTTGCGGTGCTACAAGTGAGTTGTCAAGTCAGTTCTAGGTAAACAAGGCCTTGGCTAATCAAAGATGGAACAGAACTTATCGATATCACATTGTATTTTGTCTACCTAAGAATACCGAGTACGTTTTTCATCGACTTTGTCACCAAGATACACCACATCTTGAGCTTTATCTAAGTATCCACCGACTCAATTCGATAAGTACAAAAGTACAACATTTCGTTTTACTGGTGCTGAGCAGTAAAACCTGTGCCATCAGAAATAGCCTTTGCTTTGACGAAATCTCGTTATAGATACAATATAAAGAGGATTACAACACAATATAAAGAGCATTTAGCCAAGGACCCTTGAGGCAAACCATAATGAATCTTGGCAAGAAGATGTTTTATTCATCACACGGCTAAATCATCATCACAATTGTTTTCTGTTTGCTAAATTATTGTGTAGCAGTCATTTGAAATCCTTAAAAAAGTTGAAAAACACACCGACTCAAGAGTTTTTGTCATCTAATTATTGGTATATGCTCTCGAGTCTCGAGAGGTTCTATCAAACTCTAACTTAGATCAACTTTCAGCATTAGTCTCCAAGTACCTGACTGTTTTCAAACGTTAGGATGTGTTGCATGGCAGCTTGTGGTAATGATAGACCAAGACTTGGTGCAAAATCACAAGAATCTAGCAAGAACAATGCTCTACTATGGCTGAAGCTTATGCAAACAGTAGTGCAGCAGAATTGATGAAAGATTTGAGCAAAATTCTCAACACCGCAGATTGCATTAATACTGCCTATAAGAAAATTTCTAGTCGATACTTGCTGTCTCAGCCAGTTGACTCTGGGTAGTATACAGTTGGTTCAGGGCAGTGTATGCAATTTCCAAGTAAAACTAATTTTTCTCAGTCAACATTTTTCTACGAAAACTGCCTCATACCAAAAATGTTCTATATCTTACCTAAAAGGCGATGTTTACGTTCTGCAAGCAAGTTAAGATGTTAAGATGAAGATTTGTTAAGATGTCTCTGGAAGCCAATTTTATTTAGCAATTGGATTTTGTGGTCATTGGTAAAAACAACATCAAGAAGCTGTACTTGTCGAGCAGTGTCCTGTCCCTTACTCTTGATGGATTCACCCCTTCATGATTCCTATGCCTGCAATAAAAGAGAGCTGACGACTCTCCTAACCTTTGGTAACAATTTTTCTTTAGTGAGGTTGGTCATTTCGATGATCCGAGCCCCAGACCGTTGGATCTGTAGTCCGCGACTCGTTGTACGCACGTTGAAGAACACATTGTATACAGAAGTGAAAAAATCCCCACGAAATGAACATCTTGGCTTAAGTTGAAAATTCTGAAAGGAATTCACGGTGAAGAATTTCAGATTGTTAACATACGTACAATACCTCTTCAAGTCACCAGAAAGCAAGTAGTAACAAAATGAATGGCTGCTAACAAAATTTGTTCCGACATACACACTTTCTTATAAGTGCCAGATAAACTCTACCGTGGCTGAGACTTGAATATCCTGACTGTTATTCCCAACTGTAAAATTTTTACAAGAAAATTAAGCAACAATTTTACACGACTTTTTAAGTGGCACGATTATTTAGCCGATAAAATCAGCTCTGATCTATTTTTTTCTTCTAATTTCTTATCTGAAGAAGCAGGTTATGTTACTCAGTGGCGGTTTTAGGGACTGCGGAGCTCGGGGCCAAAAAAACTGCGGGTCCCTTGTTCTTTACAATTTCTATCTTTTTTTCTTAGGTGTGGGGCCCCTTTTTGCTACCATAAGTGCGGGCCTGAGGCCATGACCCCCTTATATTGTCCCGTCCAGCCTCGTAAAGGAACCCGCGAGGTTAGGACCAGCATGCATTGCGCCTGCAACGTGAAGTGAAGGCCAGGTTACAGATGGAAAAGAATTGTTGATGGTAAATCGTGCAAATTCGTCTTCCCGGTCACGAAAATGGTTAAAGAATCTCTTGCCGAGCTACAGAAAGCCGCTGAAGAAATAAGAGATGGATTGAAGAACGTTAATGAAGACATAAAGAAGCTAACAGGAAGGGATCCAACTGAGAACTTGAGGTAAACTGTGTTGACATTGTTTACCAGGCCTGACCATGACCACTTGTCTAGTCTAGTTGGCCTAATTGTGCAGAAATGTCTAGGTAACCAACTTAATACTGTAGTAACAATGTAAAGTGAAATGATTTCAATTGCTAAACTGCTAAGAGCTATCAATCGAAACAAATTCACTTTTATTTCATATACGATGCACGTTTTTCCTTTATTACCTTTGTTTAGTCTTGCTGCAACTGCAATATAGGACACTTGTTGCTTTTAACTTCGTTATTAAATTTCTTTCATTAAGTTTCTACTGTGTTAAGGCAGCATTTGATATTTTGGCACTGAGCATTGGTCACATTTCAATAGACTGGCAAAAGTTCATATTCTACATATATTGATGAATTTGTGTGTATTTTACATTTGTATAGAGCTGGAAACAGAAGGATACAGTTGAAAAGAAATTCATTTCAGCGTGGTGTCAGGACAGAGAACCCCATTGCAAAGCAAAGAAGAGAATCAGATACAATTGGGGCCAGAAGGTTGGTACCATTTATGTCATTTTGCCAGATTAGTATTTTTTGGAGAGTATCTCAAGGCAGAATGGACACTAAATGTGTTTTTTTTAAGAAAAGCACAAGATTATTTCCAATATGGAAAATTAATTTTCATTTGCAAGAAAAAAATTTTCTTTGCACTGGTACAGGGGCTTCAATGCAAGTTGAGAGTGCGGGGCCAAATGTAAATTTAAGACTGCTCACAGAAAGATTTTGCAAAATTAACTTTGTATTTTGCATAAAAGATGGGTATTATTCTGTGCCATTCAAAAACCTTGGATAAATTTATAATGTGCTTTGACTATGTGATATAGTTGCACCTTCATCTATAGTTGAAAGTGTGTTGTTTGAGGATTACATCACTATCTTAATGCAAAACAAACAGTTGTATTAAGAAGAATTGTCAGCCTTAAGAAGTTTGAATAGTAATTGTTAAGTTCAAGTAATTCACTGTTAATAAAAAAGGAGGCTTGTTCTGTAAATGAATGACAAATTTGATTACCTGTTTAGAGGTTTTTAGTACCAGGGTATTTTTTGTTAAGGACAAGATCTGCTTTAAACAACCTAGTCTTTTGCACTTCACAATTTTAATGTTGACATATGTAAGCTCCATACTAAAATGTTCTCTGTTTCGCAGATGGGGAAGGACTGTGGAGGCTGGATCAAGAATTTCTGTTGATGAGCAGAGGTTGGATAGCAGTGGTGATGAAGATGATTCTTCAAAGGTTCAGTGTTTATGTGCTTTATCGCTTATTTTAGGGCTTTGACTCTGCAGTAAAAGGTCACTCTGTTGTACCTACAGAAAAAGCTGTCATACATGAAAATGTACTAACAAGTTTGAATTCATACAAAAAACCACCAAGAGAAAAAATGGCAATTGAATTTAAGGATGGAAACATGGGAAAACATCTATTACATTTTGTCCACCCCCTATACTTTTCGTCAGTGAACGGTCAAAAACATGTCACCTGGAACAAGTAAAAAGAGGTTGGATCTTGGTAAAACCAGGGCCAAGATCCCCTTTGGCTCAACACTAATGTTAACAAATAAAATTCTTTCAAACATGAAAATGTGTCTGTACTGTAGGAAGAAAATGTGCTTGATGAAAATAATACCTAAAGACAATTTGACAGGCAAAAGAAAACATTTTGAGCAGCAAAATTTTTGACAACAAGATAATCTCATAAAAAACTGCCTTCTGTCTTTTCCTGTGCCCCCCTCTCTGAATTTCCATCCAAAGCACAAGATATGTTGGGTTTCAGTTTCTTAATATTGAATTTACCTTTTTTGCCTTTAAGTTGCTTTTATAGTTGCTATCTAGCTATTCTTATGACACCCATTATATCATACAGCCTGCTATCCAGTCAGTGATTGCAAGTGATTTGAAACCAGCTCGTGTTCAATCCAACAATGCAGAAGAAGACAGCGGTACAAAATCTAGGTAAATATAAACGCTATGAATCAAAATGATTGAATTAATAAGGTTGCAGGCAATGATTCAGTTAGTTAGTTCAAATTTTTCATTATATAGTTACAATAAACAACATTTCTGAATTTTTTTATCATAAAATGTCTTCTTAGCTATCCTTTATCAGTTAAAGCTGAGATGTGATGAATAGCTTGATGACTGTCTGTGTTGATTTAACAACAGACTCGAATACAGCTTTTCAACTCCAAGAAAAATTTGAAACAGTTTTAAAAATGCTTACATTTTTTGCTATTATAGTTCCACAAAGAAGTCACCTGGGATCATGAAAGATTAACAAGTTATATGATGAATTTTTTATCATGGAAGCCAATGCATATTTTAATATTGTTTTTAAAATTTTATCAAATATGATTTTTTGAATTCTTTTCTACAGAAACCGTAGAATGTTTGGTTTTCTGGTTGGCACTTTGCAGAGATTTAAGGAAGATACAAGACAAAAGACTCGTGGGGTATGATATGAACAAAAAATATAATCATTCATTTTTCCAAAAAATGCTACAATGTAACAGCATGAATTACTGGGCAGTTTGTTGCTATAATTTTCTCATGTATCTTTTTGCATTTACTAGCCTCTCAATTTTCCTTAGGTATATATTATTTATGCTACCTCTCTTGGCAACCACTACCTTATACATCATGAAAAGCAATGTTCACTGTGTCAGCAAATAGAGTTGTTTTGGTCATAGGAGAAATCTAATCATAGTTCAAAGACTTGTCTTGTCTAGCCAATGAAGCAAACTTTTATGTTTGTGAATTTTCAGCAGCTAGTGGGCAGAGACTTTGCTTAATCTGATCCCAATGAAAAATGGATTCGCTTTATAAGTTATAATAACCTTTCCTCAATCTTTAGGAGAAGAAAAGGGAAGAAATAGAGAAAAAACTTGAGGAAAAAGCGGCACAGGAGAAACAAGAACTGATAACTCAAAAGAGGGAGCTCTTTCAAGCAAGGAGGGAAAAGCAGCAGGAGTTGAAATTTTTAGAAACAAAAATGGAAAATGCTGTTCTTGTGAGTATAACAACTGCATGTAATGTCTCTATTATTGTTTTTAAACTTTAATATATACTTGTTTTTGAAATTGCAACAGAAGGCAAGGTGTTTTGCTTTAAATTTTTTGGACAAGTTATTAACACAGAATAATTCTATTGGTTGTACTGTTTGCAAAACCTTTAGTTTTGAAATGTATGTGCATGAGCCCTCATCATAAACAAATAGTATTGAATTCGAAAAGTTTTACCAAATATTAAAATAGTTCTTTTTATTTGAGATTTTGAATTTGTTTTTATCTATATATCTCTTACAGAAAGAGGAAATACTTGAACACAACAAACATCTTGGGAACTTCATTCGACTCAAGTGTAATCCTCCACTGTTCTATCTCCCTGTGAAGCACACTGAAGAGACAAAACGGCTATTAGAAGAGACTAAGACTACTCTAAAAGGTAGCACATCCCTGTTTCCTTGGTACTATGGACAGTTTTCAGACAGACAGTTAGAGTGGATCTTGACTCCAGCTATGTAGCATTTTCTTAAAAATTAGCTGGGCCTAATGTCATCTGATATTCTCTAGAACAGACACTGTCACTGTACCCAGTTATTCTTTTGAGATTTCCCCCTTCCTTTGTTTTACTGATTTTGTACTTTTTGTGCAAATATTTTAATATGCTAAGTCATATGCTAAGTAGCAAGCAAACATCCTACTTCTCTGAAACCTAATTTTTTATCCAACAAAATAATGCATGGCTCATTTTTCTTTGTAGATTTGCAAAATACAAGATTCAAAGCACTGGATTTTGAAGATGATGCTGAATTAAATACATCAATGAGCATAAGCGTTGATACGGGTAAGGAGGTTAAAAACGAGAGTGTGAAAGCGAGAGAAGTCGGACATAGAGGGCTATTTGATAAAGATAGAGATCAGTTAGAAGAGAAAGAAGAGACAGAAATGGGTAAAATAGAGGGAGAGAATGGGTTGAGTGAAGGGGAACATCAGATTGGTGAGGTAAATGAACTCTTTGAAGGTAGGAGTGACAGAGAAAAGTTAGAAAAAGTTGATAATGAGGAAGTGGTCAGCAGTAAACTTCTTATAAGTAATGCTAATGTACCTGGAGGGGAAATACAGGGTGATGAGAGTCTGTGTGAAGATAAGGAGAATATTGAAGGAGAAATGAACGCAGAAAGGAATGGGGAAAAGGAGATGGGGGAAGAGTTAACCAAGCGAGAGGGTGAAAATGAGGAAGCGAGAGATTGTGATAGAGGAAAGTCGGAGAATTTTGGGAATTTCAATAGCAGCCAATTTAGTACAGTTGAAGCAAGCCACGATATAGCAACTGATAAGCAGGAAACTCTGCAAGACACTACAAGCATGGACAATAATGAAAATTTGGCGACTTCTACACAAGAATTACCCAGCTCAGACTTTACTAGTATTCCTATGATTGCAGAACCTGGTGATTTGACAGCTCTGCCCACCAATCCTGAAGGTGATGAAGCATCCATGAAAGTTGGCTATTAGCTTGTTTTTTTCTATTAAATGTCGTGTTTTGCAAACCTTGAATAGGAAAGGTCGTCCGAGTGTATGTTTTCAGAAATGAACCGGAACGAAAAATGCAAAACTTTGTTCAGATGGGCTGAATTCTTGTTCAAAGTCTTCATGCTTTTTACTCAAAACTAGACGGATTAACCTTTGCAAATGATTTGACAAAAGTTTTTTCTTCTCATCAAAATTGATCTTCTTGTTTGTGATCAGCCGGCTTTGTAAATGCAATGAATTCAGTGCATCTGAACAGTCTCCAGAAAGATATTGTCTGATGTTGTCTGAGTAAATCATCTGTACTACAACACTCTTAGATCTTTGTTCTTGGTGCTTTATAACGACGTGCTTTTAATAACTTGAAGGAACTGTCCAGTTCAGTATATTAGTCATTCATTCCATTTTTATGCATACGCAAGAAATCTTTAATGTGCATTTACTAGCAAGAGAAAGGCATTTTCTCGTTTATTCTCTGTTTTTCCAGTTTCAGGAGGTCTTTCCTTGTTTTGTCCTACAGCGACTTTGGTTTTGATTTAAGAAACCTTATACAATCGATGTTTAAACCATCTGTATCCATGACACCATGATTCTCAATCCATCTGTCTTTTTCCTGTAATACGATATTTTTTATGTAATCTGATCTGGTTTCTACCAACTTTATGGTATTTTATTGCCAAACTAACATAGAGTTAATTTTTGAATGTATCTTGTTGTATGTCGTACAAATGTTCTTCAGATTTCGGATTACCGATTTCTTTGGTCTCTGTTAAAAGGCTTTGATTTCTACCTTCACGATGTTTTTCTGAAATAGTGTAATTAAGTGATAAAATAATAAGAAGTTGATTCGTGTCACTTTCTTGTTCTTTCTTTGTTATGAGCAAATCTTGAAAGTATGAAAAATAAACGAAAATGTTAACCATCATCAAAAGAACCATCATGTTTGATATGCGAAGTATTTGTCAAATTTTGTGCCACTTTCACCTTATTGCGTGGATGGTTTCTTTCCTTGGTTTTGAAATTACGTTAGATAATTCTGGAGGTGTAATTATGAGGCAAACCATACAAAATCAGTTGATCTTCAACGCATCATATAGATTCTATGGCCGTATTTAAAAGTAAGTGTTGATAAACGACCTTTCCATGGCCTAATGTTAGGAATAACTAAGAAGACTTACCACTTGCTTTCAACTTAAGTTAAAGTGATAAAAGGTGCTCTGTTTATATTTGAGTGGGCTCAAGGTGTTTGATCCCAGGATTCCGAATCCGAACGAGCAACTGAATGACTGAGTTCTGTTTACAGAATAAACAGTTTTTAAACAAAACCCAAGATCCTTCTTAAGGAAAAAGGATTCTGTTAAAAGGCGAAAGTTTCAAATAGAGGCATGTTTGAATGAGTAGCCATTTTTAGTATATTATAATCAAGTACCCAAATCTTTCCACTTAATCGTCATTTAGTATGCAAGCGAAAAAATCTAACATGACTTTTCAACTATTATCTGAAGTGATGGAAATCCGCTAACCGGGAGGGTACAGGTATTCTCCGATCAATTTTCGCTTAATAGGACATACGGTGACCTATTATTTTGGAAACTTACGAAAGTGTTCCGTTCTTACTCTACAGTTCCGTTCCCTCAAAAATTCAAATTGTTTGGTCTCAGTGAGCAAGGCCAGAATAACAGAAATTCGTTAGCAAATGCCAAATCTTTCAGTGGCCAACTTTGAACATGTTTCACTAAATATGCATTTAAAGGAGTATATTTTACGTCTTTTAGACAATATAGGCCTTGATAAAATCAAGGACGTCAGGTACTCTATTGTTATAGCAACTTGTGATTCGGAACTGCTTTGAAATTTGTATGAATAATGAAGCATCAATTTTGCTAGTTAACTTCAAATTTTCATCTAAGTTAACTTCCGTGACAAAGCATACATACGGGTCTGTGCATCATCAATAACTATTTGGAAAATAACTGGGAAGACTGTAACAATGTTACAAACGCTCAATTTATCATGCCCGGAAGTCGTAAGAACACGTGATTTCTCCCCGCTTTTTTTCTTAACAAACCAATCAAAATCTTGGAAATCTCCATTCGCATTTTCGAGCGAAATTGACGAAGGCAAATAGAAGAAGTAATGTCGTCAAAAATGCAGTCGCCAGAAATTTATCAAACACAAACTGCTGCAACACCAGATGACAACCGAACAGAAGGGCTAGACATTTCTTTGCAATTTTCAGATGAATTATCTGAAGGAAGTAGCTTTGAACAAGCTGATATTCAACCTTTACAGCAGCGTTTCCAATCCATCATATCTGATTCACCACTTTGCCGGGACCTAGAAGGACAGGCCGACATACAATGGTGAGTTTAATAGCTGTGTGGTATATAATTGTAGGTATATATGTTGTTAAAAAACACAACTTGACTGCGACCATCTTTCAACAATTTTACTATTCCAAGTGGTCTTATTTTAGGCTATTAGCTTTCTTGATGATTGTATTTTGATTTTGATTTAATGATTATACAATTTCATTAACATCCCAGTTTTTTATAACATGTCTATAATTTTTTATTTTCATCGTCTAATTTGCGATTTTCATGTCTGATAAGATATAAACTGTTTAACCAAAAGCCATTTTGATTTGATATGATCATATTTAGAAAATATTATGTTGAGTTGAGGTAACACATTTTCGCCGCGCTTTTTCCTTGATCATATCTCCTCTCTGCTTAGGCCAATCTAAACGATTATATGTTTTGACCTGTTCTGGGTCCAGAAAAACTCTTTATATAAGCTTTTCATCCTCAGGTTGACAGATCGACTGCAAACAATTAAAACAGGAAATCATGAGGAAATAATATAATTTGGCCGTCAATGCAACACTGCTACTCATCTTAATGTTTATTAACATGATGATTTGCAAGGCAATTTCTTTTCAAGTTCTTCCTAGAATTCACCTACCATTCAATAGGTGACACATTTCCGAATGAAAAGTTTATTTTAAGTCAGAATGAAATTTCTGGCAATAATTCACAATAATGTAGGTACAACAGGAAACATCTTCCTTGAGTTGGTTCCACAGGAGGATCATTGAAACCTTTTAATCAGATTTCAAGATGTTTTTTCAATCGAAATAAATCTTGGGAACGATTTATTGTTATAATTCCAGGATGAATCGGACGAATTTGGAAAAATGGGACTACATTACGATGCTCGGTTTTCGTGTGCAGGGGGTTTTTGTAGTTCGTATTTTCGTTGAGCGAACGTTATGAGATAAAATCTGCTGAAACATGCTGAAAAACGATATACGAGAATCACCTAAAGATTAGGTGGACATTTGTATCAGGAAGTAAAGTCTTTAAAAATGCTGTCAACCATAGTGCAAAAACTTTCAGCTTGTAGATATAACCGAATTGAAAGTAAGAAATTCTATGGAAAGGTACATACTATAAAATCTGCCTAGAATGCTATCTAACAACTGAAAGATGCTCCACAAAATTTTTTAAGGATTGGTGACTCATTTCCAGTTTCAAAACATTGTCATCAGTTTCCGAAAATCGTGAAATGTCAAGTGGACTGGAAAGAAAACGTTGCATTGCCCAGCTTTTCTAAATTGTTTTCCCAAAACAAGATGGTTTCATTTTCTTTCATCCGACACTTTAACAAAAGAAGAACAAATCAACTCTGTCTTTGGAATTGGGGAATATGATAAAATGAAAGCACATTATATGGGTATTCCTGCACACAGAAGTTTGTTTATACTATAAACTTCTTCCTATTGAAAGAAACTTCATACAAACTACAAGCAAAGATTTACTGAGACTCCTACTGAACGAGTTGGACAGTAGTTTGCCCAACTCAACAGTTTTTGCGAGGGCATTTCAGGAGGAGTAAATTCTCTTTCTAATTGAAACTTTCTCTAACAGTACCCTTTTTTAAGAGCCTCTTTAGTACCGGCGACTATGGTAAATCCTCCTACGTCCCAGAATAAGAGTTTAACAGCATCGTTATTTACCTAAAAATGTTCAGAAAAGGTACTTATTGAGCTCTTATTATCTTATATATGTTCACACTTGTTATCTTTCTTTTTCTGATGTTAAACTTAGTTTACTCATACGCTTCACTTTCTCTCTGCCAGTGCTCTACATTCAGGGCAAAGACGAAGTCTTTTAGTTGACTTTCAATTGATTTGCACACCTTTTTAACAGGACAGAAAGACTCAGTCTTCCTCTGAGTGATTTCGAAAAGTACGACGACGAGCCACCCAGCTGTAGCGCCTTCGAGACAATTGTTAGTGAAGAGATCAGCGAAGACATTCAGGAGCTAGAAGAAACTCGTGGTTTTTGTTTTCTGGATGATGGGTGCAGCACTACATCAGAAATTCATCAACAGCATGATCAACAAGACTTTGTAGAACTCGAGTGAGTTTCTTATAGATTGATTACATGGTCCTATGGTAATAGGCCTATTAATTTTCGCATGGGACGGATTTAAACAAATATGTCATTCATGGCACACTGATTACTCACTGAAAATCCAAAATTGTGCAAGACAAAGCCATCTCATGTTTATTCAAAATGCTAAGGAAGATCATTGCTTCAAAAAGGTCACTTGCAATTAAAAAGCGAGCAAAATTGAGTTTTGCAACATTGTCATAGAAATTTCAACAAAACTAACCCACATTAATTAGATGACTGATTCAGGCAAATGGTTGTCTCAATCAATGTTGTATCAAACTTGATTTTCAACGACACAGCAATTTCGACCATTTTTTGGCATCCCTTACTAAGCCTGTCCCATAGCTCTAGATATTTTCTTGGGTTCCGTGAATTTTACTCCTTAATTAATCTAGCTTCAAACTTACTAGTGACAGTAACTAATCGGAATCTTATTCTGCAGGGGACAAGGCTCATTAGTGGACAAAGTGACTGGACGACAAGATGAGTCAGCGTATGACACTTGTCTTGAATGGCCAACTATTCAACAAGAGGCATCATCGCTCAACGAATTGTCAGATTTCATAGCAGATAGCTGCAGATTAACAAAGGAAACTTCGGTTCTCCTTAAGATGTTGGGTAGGTATTTGCCTATTATAGAAGTGTAATGCTTAGGAAAGATCAATGGAGCTTTCCCGAATGCAGCTTACAAATCAACAGTTGGGTTAAAACCCTTGGGTTAATTTCTAAACATTGTATATGACTGCTTGGCAGGGCCTACGCCACGAATTTGAAGGTGGGGGCCAAGGCTAGCAAAAAAAGGGGCCAAGGTTTTCCCCCTTTTATTGCAGCTTTAAAACTATTTGCTTCGCAAAAAAGTGGGTGGGAGCTATGGTCCCTCCCCCCGGTGGCGTAGGCCCTGCTTGGTGAGATCTGGTCGAATGGAACGGCTATTGATAAATATGTGCCTGATAGATAAATTGTAGCTGTGTCAATACGACCTATTCAAGGCAATAAGCGATAATGTTTCACTGGCGATAACAGCCCAAAATATCCTAATATTGAGTACCTTACATAATTTTAACAGTTTTATCTTTTATCAATTTCACTTTTGACCAAAGGTTAACTATAAAATAATTAATATTTGTTTGTCCTTTTGCTATGTTGAATGTGTCCTCTTCTCCTATCCGTCCTATTATAGAAGTTAAATTCATTTTACATTATTGCGTAATACTTCATTTTCCAGAAGACGCCAGTTCGTCTCCAACAGTCGTTGTTTGCGTCGCCAACGAAGATAACTCGAAAAACGTCCTCAGTTCGGTGCAGCATCAGCTGACAACAAGCATCGGCAACCAGTCATTAGCTGCACCAAGAGACACACAAACCCAGAAAGAGAGCCCAAGGACTTTGCTCAAAAGATCAAGAGAAATGTACAGTCATGGTACAACAGACAATGGGCTGAGGGGTGCAGGAGTACCAAACGATACTTATAGATTGGTAGAAAACCCCTTGGCTCCTTATTCATCCAACGTTGATTTCAAAAACATGATAGCTGAACATGCAAATAGTTTTTTTGAGGTAACCAGGTTTTCAAGCTTAATATTCCATTTTATTCATGAATCCCATAATTTCTCTTTTAAGTTGTTTATGAAGTTTCATTTCTTTTTCAACTTATACAAACGTTTGAGACAAAAGTGGAGAGATTTCTAAAAGAGTGAAACAGATAGAGGCTCCTGGGGCATGCTGCAGAAAATCTGCAAAACCTTCTTCGCCGTTTGAAATTCCGAAAAATACTTTTATTACTATTAACAACAAAGCCATCGGATGCCAAGCTTTTATCAAAATGGTATGCAATACAGTGCATACAAAGGGTAAGCAAGTATACTATATCGGACCAAATGCCTTCAGATTGTAGAATCTATATATTCTAACCTTAACTCTGCATTAATGAATAAAATAGAATACTGTTGATGAAATTTGATCCTGGTTTTTTTTCTTAATCAATTCTCAATTAGTTAAAAAGTGTGTAGTTCAAATCAAGAATACGTTGTTTCGATCTGTAGATGGAGTATGAGGCTAAAATGGAAAGACAATTTAGAAGAAAGGAGAAGAATCGTGAATGTAGCAGAAATTTTAGATACAAACAAAGAATAAAGGAGGATTGTTTAAAGAGAGGGAAGCTAGAAAAAGAAGTTTGCCTGCGAAGGTAAGGTAATTTGCTCATTGTTTTCTTCAGATCTGGTCCTAGCAAGCTCATTCTCCTAAGAAGGGCTTACCATCAACCGCGCCCCTGTCTACTGACGTCGAAGCTTGTCGTATTCCCACCTTTATAGTTTTGGGAGGTAAAAACAAGTAAGGAGGCGGAGTTCACACTTATAACTTTAGAGCAGAATGGGTGCAAAAAGTAAGAAAATGTTGCTATCAATATTTGACCTTGCACTGAAGTAGGGGCTCGCCCCTTGGTTTCTCTTATTGAATAATTTTCTTTTGCAGTTGTTGACCCTGGTGCGGCCCCTGAGTCTCCCTTTCAAGGTTGTGCTTTTACTGTCAAAGCCAAACTTTGTCTTTGGTTCTTGAATTTTCTCATCTTTTTTTAAATAAAAATATGATTAAGTTTAATCTGCAAACTTCTAGCCTGCTGTATGAAAGAGCGAGATTGAAGAATGCATTGGAAGAGTTGGCGAAGAACTGTTCATCTTGTTACAAGGCAATGGAATTCTTATCTTCATTTACTAATACATGTAATAAAGAGAATATGTTGACGAAGTTGCAAGAACAAACGAAACAACAGCCAAAAGCTAAGTAATTTCTGGCTTTGTTTAAATGAACAATAATTCCTTTCTTTTTGTATCTTATTCAGCAATGATATTATGATTTCTAGCAAAAAGAGCAGTAAACTTACTTTAGACTAGCTTTTCTTGTATTCAGTTTTGTATTAACAGTGTGAATTGATGAGTGATGAATTCTTGAATAAAAGACAATGTACCAGACATGCTTCTGTTGCCTGTAGTTTATTGCTTCTTAACTGTGATACCTGATGATACCGACCGATGAATTATTTCTGCAATTACATTTTTGTTGTTTTGTGCCTGGTGTTTTCAATTAATTTTCAATAATATATGATAAAGACCCAAAAGCAAAGTGTGTATTGCCCCAGTTTCTGTTTTTAATGAAGAAGTGCTGATGTAGCAAAGAATTTGAACTTAAAGTTCGGAGAAGCAGGTTGAAGTGATAAATCATGTCTGGAGCTAGATTGAATTTAAAAATGTATCTAGAAATGGTTCAAAACGTTTCCCGTAAATTAAACTGAAAGCAAGTTTTAACCGAAGCTGATTTAATCGTTTTATATCCATTTCAGTGGAAACAAATCCTTGCTAGCAACTTTTAAACGATTTATCGAAAACTTATCTACTAAAATTGGGGTTACTAAAATAAGGCCTAGCAATAAGTGACTTCTCCGATTATGTCAGGTCCACTGATACTCTTTCATCGGGGCAGTCTACAAAAGTTGCTTGGCTTTCAGTAATAAGAGTTTTCTTTGGCTTTTATCTCATTTATATGTCATTGAATTAGACTGTTGGAAGGTTTTCCATATTGCGAAACTTAGCAGTACTGACTGTGACTTTTAAGGAGTTTTGAAGTTCTGGCGTTTTGATAAGCGTGATTTAAGGCAGCAAAATGATGCCGATACTGAACACCAGCAAGTTCACATATTCACACTTCTACCAACTCAGATTTTTCATTAAGATAGCCTTGGCATAATTTATTACTTGGAAAGTTTCTTATTTAAGAGCAGGCCAGCTATTGTGCTTAAGGGGAAGGGGTTTCCAAGTCCCATCTGACAAAATGGGTGAGTCATCCTTTAATTGCTAGCAAGTTTGCGAATTTGCCGACTAAGCACCCCTAGATGGCAAAAAATTCCTTGTTTTCGCAATGGAATTTTTTTCAAGAGGGTGTCACACCCCACACGTCCCATTTAGCGTTAAGAGTTCTGTAGAAATCTCGACGAACCTTGCAGCAAATGGAAAACTTAAGCCAGAACAATACGGCAAACGCCTGCTTTTGTGGCAAGTAAGCCGTTCATTATTAAGCAGAAAAATTATTTCGCTCCTGCTCAATTAGGCAGGGGAGTTTCTGATCAGCAGCGTCACAATTTTCAGAATACTTTTGATCGCAGGTTTCCTCTTATCCAGTAGATTAGCACAGAATGTTGCTTGTTCTTTGCTGTAAAGAAACATCCGTAATTATCACCTTCGCTCACAACCGTGCTAAGCCTCGTGCGTCATTCTGTGCTAAGTTTTATCCACTTCCTGAGCACATTGCTCTGGAATGGTTTACAGGCATTTGGTTTTTGATTTTGACAAAGGTATTCGAATTAAGCCAAAAATCCTGTGAGTTTCACTGAGGGTTTAACGTCTTCCTTAAATGCAACAAAAAAAGTGGCAGATCCTTAAACAGCTAACGCCAATGTGAAAGCCGGATACAAGGGAGAATCAATTGGTGAGACTAACGAATTTTCTTCGCGCGACCTTCCTCGCTAAGATTATCCGCCGGTTGATTCAGGTTAAGTCGCAGAGGGACTGTGCATCTGCTAAACGAAAAGCACGCTGTGAGGAAGAGAATCTCTTCGCGAAAGTTGCATAAATTTCCGTTTCAGGTTAGAGTTTGTTTTGATTACCTGCTATCCCGCTCCTGATACCAATACTCGCCCGAATTTGTTTTGCAAAGAGAAGGTCCTTTGCCTCAAACGACTTAAAGCATTGCGGTTTAGACCTGTTCTTCTTTGTCACCTGTGGCCTCGTGTGAATCAGAAAGAAACGAAAGGAGGCCTCGCGTGTTCTCTATTCAATTATTCATTGACCATAGAGATAAAGATCAGCGATCGCCATATGGGAGATATTTAATTTTATAGAAAAACCTAATTCTCGTTGGCTACTGAAAATACTTGACACTTTTGAGGTTCTCTCATGTACAGTGACGCTGGTATCCTGAACACCAAGTAACGGAGAAGAAGAAATACCGTTCACAACAAATGGATCATTGAAACTTCATGTTAAATCTTCAAAACAACATGTCTGGGATAAATTTAGAAAGAGGAGAATCCTTTACAGTCAACAGATGCACGTGTTTATGTGTCAGTGCCAAGAAGGATAGAATGTGTGCGTTGACTATTTTAGGAGCTTTTGAAATAATAATAGCCGTAGCTTCAATTGGTTTGGGAAATTGGGCAGTTTTTGCTTATCCAGGACATATACGAAAAACGGCCGCTTTTAACTTCTGGTCAGGAGGAGCCGTGAGTATAGCTTCATCGTATATCATTTTTTTAATAACATTTCTTTGGTAGGTCGTATAGGAATTTTCGTTTTATTCCTATACAATTTCAGTAAGTCGGTCTATCACAATATCAAGCACTCTAAAACAATCTAATAGTTGCTACTTCATAGCTATGCAACCTCGTATTATAATCATTATACGTTTTCGCACGGAAACGTTTATACAATCCATAGGAATAGAGCTTGCCAATTTTGCTACTGAAAATTTATTACAGTTGTAAGATGTAGCTGTTTATTCTCCCTTTTCACAGCAAAAGCTTTGTTGGTTGTTTATATCTGTTTTATTCATTTATGTTAAAAAGACAGAGTAGACATTCGCAAATTTTTCGTTATGATAAATTCAAACCTTGTAACTGTCTACTCAGTCTTGTGATGAAAAGTCTATCCATCACCCTACACTACCCAGACTGTAGCCAGACTGTAATTATCTCGGCTCTTAGCATA